CATTTGGCGACGAGTTTATTCCAACTGGCAACATAGAGGATCATCACAGTCATTCATTCATATAACACATCTAGAGATTACACGTTGTGGAGAGATTATAGTGAAATGATGACCCGAATAACAGGTGTATTTCCCAGTCCAATTGGTGGGGAGTCGGACTTCAAAATCACAGATTGTTGGTTAGTATCTTGCCACAACAAACAACAATCATCATTTTCCCTTCAATCATTACCAACTACATCAATGATAGCTTGCTAATCCAAAACTATCACACACACACAGAGTCATTATCAATTGTATATATGTTATAGGACTAGACAAGTTAAGCGAAACATCTTTCTAGTAACTAGCAAGATGTGGGACGACCAGGAAAGATCGGTGGAAAACCTCAGCCGAAGGTACTTGACATTGGATATATTTTCAACATCTATGCCGTCAATGATAGTGGGGCCATGTGAGCTAACTAGTTGTTGTAGGTCACGTTTACGTCTGAAAGTGAAATTGACTACCTGACATTTAAACGGATTTAGCTTAAGACCGTTTGAAGGGGACCACTGACTAATTTCCGATAGAAAGTTATTTAAATGGGAACAATCTGACTGAGAGTTGACAGGCATAGAAACAGAGAGGTCATCAGCATACTTAACAAAAATGGCTACATCAGAATGAGGCAAGTCATGTAAGAAAAACGAAAACAGAAAGGGAGAAAGAACAGCACCTTGAGGAACACCAGCTAAAGTAAGTGAGGTAGTGGAGGACTTTTCATTGTAGACAGTGTACTGCTTCCTATCAGAAAAGTAGGAATGCAACCACTTATTTGTCCAGCTCTCAGCCTGTGTTGCAGCAAGCTTACTTAGCAAGAGAGACCTGGGAACAGAGTCAAATGCAGATGTGTAATCAAGGAAGGCACAGCGAACGTATTTAGCTCCTTTATCTAAACTAGAGACTATGCTATGGTGTAGGACAACAGCGGCATCTAACGTACACTTACTATGTTTATAGGCAAACTGGTTGGGTGTCATTGAAAGGCTTTAAAGAGGGTTCAAGATTAAGTAAGACTAACTGAGCTACAAATCTTTTTTCTCTATTATTTCAAAACCTTTTCATTCTATTGTTTAATTATCACAAAATATAACAGTTTTATAATGATAAATTGTAAAAAACGAAACAAACTAATCCATCACATATCACACTGGCATTAATTTCAATTATATGATGTGATAACTTAAATCAAGCACTTTTATCTCTGTTATAGTCTTAATTGGATAATGATGACCTGGATAGGAAGGAGGCAGTAATCAATAATGGAATAAATTGTCTATAAATTAGATCATATCAAATCTAATTTGAAAATAAGGCTTTATATATATATATATATATATATATATATATATATATATATATATATATATATATATATATATATATATAATATTTATTATAAATGCAACTTTCTTGCACAGATGGTGTTTTTCACTTCAAAAATCATGAGCAAAATAAACAATATTATTTATTTTAAGGGAATTTCAAGCTGGATTTCATCAATTAAAAATACCGACAGCAATTTAAAAAAAGTCATTGAAATTTAACGAGTATAAGGGAATTTTCAGCAATATTCACCTCATGAATCAAACCTAAAATCTTCATAGTTATAAGGTGTCCCCTGTTGACTGAATATATCCAGTGACACTAACCATGTACACTGCTAAAGAGTTCAAAAACTGGGACAAAACAGCAGTTCAGTGCTTCTTGTGTTTTTTTTCTTCTTCAAGGATTACAGGTTTGATCACTAGCTGGCATCAGTTAGAGGACCAGTAGGAAACCAGAGAGTACTGTAGCTTCAAATTACAAGGCGAGCTTGTCAACAGCTGATCCAATGGTCTAGTAATTCTAAGTCCTGCCAATTCATTATATATATATGATGCGACCGCCAACTAATGCTATAGGCAAGTAACTGTTTTCTTGTCTAACTTGACAGAACCTGCGAAATATTATCGCAAATCAGCAGAAGATGGAATTTATGGGGCATTGGCTCAGGTCCCTGTGGTTAGATGGTCTGCAAGATCGCCCTGTCTGTCTGTCTGTTTTCGACATAGAACTCTGCATCAATGTGCATCAGTTCAAATCGCCACACTCCATATAGTACACAAAGCAAGAGAAGAAGAAAGTAGAAGAAAGGCATAATAGAGACAGTAGACAGGGATATGAGACAAAAGGAATAGTAATAACGAAGAACAAAGCAGTTTCATTGGAAATCAAAGTTACACGGAGTGGATGAATCTGCGCCACTGAGAACGATTTTGAGCCATGTCACACGGGAAATAGAACACAGGCACCTATGATCAAAGACAGGTAATCTTTTCATGTCTTCCACTCTCAATGGCCAGGTCTCACAGCTATAAAGGAAGACGGAGCGGACTGATGAGCAGTACACCCGTCCTCTGTTTACCGGCCTAACTACGAGCTTAGCGAGTTCTAGGAGTAAGTCCGCCGGGAATCGAACACCGAACCACCTGAGTGGTTGGTGGGTATTCTACCGCTGAACCATCGATGCAATTTGGTATCAGAGGTGGGATGTCAACCCACGCCCACCTCATGGACCATGGAGTGTGTCAAATTTTACTTTCTGTGCAAATTTCTATGTTGACACTCAGTCATTCAATCAATCAGTCAGTGATTCAACAATGAAACATAATTCGAAATCATAATAGTCATCATGAAGAAGAATAACTCTCTGCTCGGCTTCACTACAAGACATCTGACAGCAAAGACGATGAATGCTGTTCATCATGTATTTTTGTATCAAGTGAACTCTAATTCTCAGTTGGTCTTTCAGTTAAGTACAATTTAAGGATAGTGAGTAAAGTGTGTACTAAGAGTGAGTCTTTTCAAGGCTGACCAATGACTTGACAAATCAATGTAGAAATTAACACACTGAAGTTTTCGCCTCACACCTCTTCAAGAAATGAAATAAAATAAGGAAACTGCAATTATGGTGACAACTGTCAGCTAGCCGAAATTGTGTGTGTACTAAGAGTGCGTCTTTTCAAGGCTGACCAATCACTTGACAAATCAATGTAGAAATTAACACACTGAAGTTTTCGCCTCACACCTCTTCAAGAAACGAAATAAAATAAGGAAACTGCAATTATGGTGACAACTGTCAGCTAGCCGAAATTGTGTGTGTACTAAGAGTGCGTCTTTTCAAGGCTGACCAATGACTTGACAAATCAATGTAGAAATTAACACACTGTAGTTTTCACCTCACACCTCTTCAAGAAACGAAATAAAATAAGGAAACTGCAATTATGGTGACAACTGTCAGCTAGCCGAAATTGTGTGTGTACTAAGAGTGCGTCTTTTCAAGGCTGACCAATGACTTGACAAATCAATGTAGAAATTAACACACTGTAGTTTTCACCTCACACCTCTTCAAGAAACGAAATAAAATAAGGAAACTGCAATTATGGTGACAACTGTCAGCTAGCCGAAATTGTAGACAATAATTTACGTCAATATTCATGTCCCGAATCGGAGTCATGAGAAAAAACAATAACTCAACAACCAATCACAGAAGACTTAACGTGTGCAACTACGATTTGCAGATACATGGCTTAACTTTCTAAGAAACGGTAACAAGTAGTACGGAATAACCTTCAGCAAGAAAACAACCAATCAGAAGACGTTGCTTCTCTACTAAAATAACAAATAATAATAATGCACATAAAAATCTGTAGATATCTCTTGATTTTCTCAATAAACGATATGTTGACTGGCCCTTGTTTTCTGTCATTACACAATTAATAAACATGTATGTAATAAAAGGAATAATAAAACTGAAGAGATTAGTAGAACAACTTTTAGAAGATGTAAGGTGGAGTCGAAGAGTTAAATTAAAGTATACAATATTACAGCAATTTATTCAGTAGATCCTAAAATATTATAAAAAATCAGACCAGCGAAAATTACAACAGGATATCAGTATCCAATCAACTGATTACTACTACTATTGACGTTTCATTCAAGTCAGTAGGACATCACTGTTTGACCAAAATCAGTTTACCATCTTATGGTGTAAGTCGCGTGACTGACCGGTTTCAACGTAGAACTTTGCACAGATGTGCAGCAGTTCAATTCGCCACATCCCCTCCATATAGCACACAAAGCAAGAGAAGATAGTACAGAGAGAGATTATAAACAGGAATGTGAGTAAGGGAAAAAGAACAACAGAATTTTATTGGATATTATAAAACACAAAGAGTGCATGCATCTGCACCAGCCACTGACAACAATCACTTTGAGCCATATCACCAGTTGTCGCCAGCCTTCATTGGTTTTGCCATCCCGTGGACGCCAACCAGTCAACCAGACAGCAGTGTACACCTCCCTACGTGGCTGGTTGGTTGGAGTGAACTAGATGTTGTGGATTTTATTGACTGATGTTGTATGCCGCTTACATTATGTTGGAGGTTTCAGACAGAAGTCATACCCCTTCCTGGCGAATAAGGAAGGATGTAACAGCAGTAAGGTGTTTCCCTCAGACAACAAACATGCTCACTTTAGGGAAAAGAGATTATGAAAGGTTGCGGTGGCTGAAGATAAGACATTCATACAAATACGACTAGCCAGTATCCTAGACTTTACGACCACACACAACACTAATCCGCTTTCTATATCACCAGTAAAGCTCAACGATCAAATGAAATTTACATTGAAGAATTTATGAATGAATATAAATTATAATCAAGTTGTGGTGAGAGCAGGCTGCTAGCCAATTGGTAGACATTAATTTACGTCAATGTTTAAGTCACTAATATTGGCCGTAAGAAAATATGAAAAGGGCTGATTCAACAACGAATCACAACAGACTTAACGTGGGCAAATACGATTCGCAAATATATGGCTTAACTTTCCGAGAAACCAGAAACAACAACAAAGTAAATGTATATGTTCTATCCTATTCTATTCTATACACATAATGAAAACTGATTTACACTCACCTATAACGTAAATTATTTGATTGTGTACGTAATTCATCAATAGTTTTCATTGTTGTCTGCATTTCATTTTTAACATTTTCAATTCGTTCATTATATGAATCCAATGATGCACAAATTAAATCCTTTTTTGTTTTCAAGTGTACCCCAGAATAAAAATAATAAAACATGAGAATGAAAATAGAGGAAAATTTATGAACACATGGATAAATCAAATAGGACATATATATATATATATATATTTATATAAACATATATGTATATATATATATATATATATATATATATATATATATATAACATAAATAAAATTGGAAATGTTTATGTGTGTGTGTGGGTGGATGGGTGTGACTCATTCATTAGCTTGAGTAGTTACCATTCAAAGTCAGTGGATCTTTAGGATTCGAATTTCGTCTGACCACCACATCCAATTTGGGCAATTTCAAAGGTGATAGCGTTAGCTTGTTCACAATAAATAGGATACATAGGCTGGTGAAAACATTTGTAGAGTAGAAAGTGTATACAAAAACCAATAAAAATATTTAAAAAAAGAAGATAGATAAGTAGAATTTAATCAGTTAAGCTATATATATAGCTACACTGGTTCAGATAGAGCTACCGCCTTCTTCAATGAGCCGTATTACTTGTTGATGAAGGCTTAGAGGTTGGAAGATAGTCAGGTGTCGTCAAATCAATAATATGAAGTCTTTGACTGCTGATTTAAGCTAAGCGGTGTAAAGAAGTATAGACTAAACGGGATGCTAAAAAACAGTGTCTAAAGAATATTGGTGGTATGGATAAAAACTGTTCGAAATACCACGGATGCATTTACTCTCTCTCTCTCTCTCTCTCTCATATTCATTAAATCCTTGTTCTCTTATGTCACTTTTCCCCCTACAGTACGGATAGATGAATATTTGAAACACTGACTTATATCTATATACATAAATGAACAGGGCAAAGTATAGCAGTCAAATCTCTACATCAACTTGATCAACTTTTTTAAGGCTTTCAACAACACATTGACCACAAAGTGATCTGATAACTGCTTGGAAACTAAATACTACAGTGGAGTGGATCACACGGTACACAGTCGAGAATAAGAAGACAAGAATACGCCTAACCGGTAAGAAGACTGTAGAAGATCTGGATATCAACGGATGATTTACATCTCGCTCCACACAAACTTGAAGATCTACAGGCGAAAACCAACACGTTGACGGAAGAGGTGGCCAGCTAAGACAAGAATTCAAGTGAAAATAAACACAATAGTAATGGTGAAGGAAGTCAACACCATCTCAACTACAGTTGACAGCATGCATAAGGACGTCAAAGCCTGACAGGATTGAATTGGGAAAGCAAGCCAAACCCTTCACATTCTACATAAACTCGAAGATCTATAGATAAAGACGAACAAGTTGGTAGAAGAAGCAGTGAAGGCAGAACTTCAAGTGGACATAGAGAGGACATAGGTGAAGAAGATACCCAATTAACAAGACGAAGAACAGATCAATAACAACAGGAGAAATCCAAAGAAATTGACTTTTTTCAACTATATCGAGGGAGGCAGCATCGTTTCAACTGCAAACAACAGCATGAATGATGATGTCAAAACCAGAGAGGTTTGGATTAGAAAAGTAAACCAAATCCTCATTGATTTGAAGTCAGTATAGCAATCTACTCCAGTCAGCATAACGAATAACATCTGGATTCTCAACACTTAAGGAAAAACAGGCCTTGGTTCTACATAGTTCAGAGACTTGACGATGTGTCATCAAAGGGATCTTGAAACAGGATTCAAGCTGTTATCAACAGCTATCTTCACTCTATACTGGAAATAACGATGAATAGAAACGATTAGAAACAAGAGAGGTTAGCAACAAACCAAATTACAACCTAACGGCCAATAAATAAGGAGAAATAAATAGAAGTGGATTGAACACATGCTGAGAAGACCGTTGAGTAATAACCTGTGACGGCAAGCCATCGAATGGAAAATTGAAAAAGACAAATCCAATTGTGATGATATGGGAAAGATGGCTGTTTGTAAGCCATCGTGGAGCTAGCTAGTGTGAAGACTGCAGACAACAACAGGGGAATGAAAATGTGTTGACGAAGCTCCTCAATACTCGAAGGAATAATAATTTAAGGATTCAAATGATTAACTGAAACGCCTTACAGTAGTGATTACAAATCAGATCAAAGTAATCTAAACAAAAAAAGGAGGGTTTCACTTTTTAAGGGGTTGAATTCATCTATCTTGGGGCATTTATCTGGAGTAACGACTTAGTTAGACCTAAAAAACAAAGATGAATCCATTTCAAGTATTGGTTTTGTAGAGATTTTTTTTGGATTGGTTGGAGGATTTCATCATGACCTAGCTGACATCAGTTAGAGAACCATCGGAAATCCTGAGAGAAAACATTTCCAAGTAGTCACGCTTTGTGTCATGAATTGGCAGAAGTTAAAATCCATGGGCTAACCATTGGATCGGGTCCCAGTGGATTAGTCGTCTACTAGCTCGCTGGCCTTGTAACCAGAAAGTTCTGGTGTCGAACCCTAACAGTGGTGCCTGCTAATGAAGAGTTCCAATCTAGGACAAAACAGATGTGTCCAGTACTGTCAACTGATGCCACCTAGGTCATGATGAAATCCTCCAACGAATCAATTTCACACCAAACACCATAACAAATTGCGGTCAGCTATTTGTGCCAGTTATACTACCACCAGTAATCTACCGTCAATTATCTAAGGGTTAAGTGAATTCGAATATTTATTCAACTAAACAAAAATTCCATTGATTAAACAACTTCACTATTCAAACGCGAGAGATAACAAGACCAACATCACAGACCATTCATTCATTCGTTCATAACATAAACAAGCACAGAGAAGTGGAATACAAAACTTTGGATAGATATCTGTTCTCGCTGTGAACACAAATAGATATGAATAAGAATAACTATAGAATGATGGCATGTTTTATTCAAGTATTGTTTGACTGGAATTATACGTTTCGACTGTTTATTATTATTATTATTATTATTATTATTATTATTATTATTATTATTATTATTATTATTATCAGTAACGCATAAATCATGACTGACAGAATACTTCAGAAAAAACTAGTCAAATTTATATTATCCGTTCATCTGTTCTGAAATGAACTAAACTTAATTGAACTGAACAAAATAGAATAGAACAGAACAACTTAAGTCAATTAGTGTACACACAAACATACACACCATGAACACACACCATTTTCGTCAGTATTGTGGGGTACCATTGTATCAGTCAAAAACACTGGGATAAAATCTCCGACAGATACGAATACAAAAATATTTAATATTCATTTAAATTGTATTTTTTTTAAAGAGGGCAGTTTAAAAAATTATGGTTATTATAATTGTGGTGCAAAAATGAATTGAAATATTTTCATGGTATTTTATGCGACTGGAAAGTAACTAACTACTTATAGTAGTATATTAAAAAACTACTTCATTTTCAGATACTGTGATACAGCCAGTGAAAATTCTCATCACTACTAACAGTCTTTTAGGTTTCGAAAGGGATATAGGGCAATTTAAACACATCTTCATTTCATCCTGTTATTCAAAAATCTCCAAAAGATGCTCCCACGATTGCCCATAAGTATTCACCTCTTCTTCACATGATCTGCTTCAAGTCCACTATTGAACTAATGCCTAAATTATTTTCTATACGTGTTTCACCCAGTAGTCTCCTCAGTGGGTGTCTTCTTGATTCATCTCAATTTCCTTCAGGACATTTATACCTGGGCAAGAGGTTTTTCACTAAAATCTGTTCCAAAAGTTCTCTGTTGCTTATCCTTTCAAAGAGAGGAGGGAAGGGAGATATCCGATCTTCAAAAGGGGGTAAATTTAAGTTTTGAAGAAAATCTTTAGCCTGCTGGAAATGATTTTTGTGACCTGCCAATCCTTAGACCGTATAGAAACATTGACTTTCAATTAGTGCAGAAAAAATTCGGATATTCTTCGTTATGCTGGGGTAGATTTTCACATCGACTTAGGAATAATGAAGGAGGGTTCGTCTTGTTTTCCCGATTCAATCCTGTCGGACTTTGACTTCCTTTATTATCCGTGCGGTCCTTCTTCACTATCACTGACGTATTTATTTTCACTTGAAGTTCTGTATTAACTGGTTACCTCTTCCGTTAACGTGTTGGTTTTCGTCTGTAGATCTTCAAGTTTGTGTGGGGCGAGATATAAATCATCCGCGACATACTGATCTTCTAGTCTTCTTACGGGTTCAGCGTATTCTTGTCTTCTCACTCTTCACAGTGTGCCATGTGATGCAGTCCAGCCGGTGGTAGCAGACAGGTCTTGTCTTACTCTTCTATATTTACTTGAAAGCCTTCGCTGATTTTCTCGTTGTGAATATGTGGAATTATAGGAAAGTTGTAGAATGAGACTGATAAAAGTTTTGGGGTAGTGTTTAGTTTCGACACAGTTGTTGCATTACTTCGCAGTCAATGCTGTTCAAGGTCTTATAAAAGCAAACGAGGTTAAATTTAAAGCTTAGATAATACTGCTACATGTATAAAGAAGGAACACGTTAGGAGCTTTGCCTTGAGGATTCTTAGTAAGGTTAAAATAAGACTGACATTTAAACTAATCAACCCACTCATTCAGAGACAAACTTTACCAGCTTAAGGATCCAAGAAGTTCAATTAAGAAAAATAATATAATATTTACGAAGTACCATGTGATGACTGTCAGGTCAATTACATAGGTTGAACTAATCGATTGGAGTCAATTAAATCATCTGGACATAAAAAGTTACTTAACTGTGCAGGGTCAATTATTTTAGGTTCTGCTAAATTTTTATGTCCCAATAATCTAGTTGGCGTTACCGTGAAACCTTAGTCCAGGGTTTCCTGTCAGTTGACTCTAACCACCTAAAATTAATTCGATGTGCATCGTGACATCTAGTCATCACATAGTTCGGTGATTACAGCATTACAAACTTGACAGACAGAATTCAGTCAGTACCAAAAATCAAGGATTCCACATAAATGACATCGGTTACTGTCTAGTCATCAACCATATATTCATCTTTCAACCTATGGACTCCAAGTTGAACATAAGACTTCAGCAGTACATCTCCGCTTAATTTTGTTGTCTATTGTCTTTTACAGTTGAATCCCCGATTTCCTACATGCTTTCACATGACTTCTCTACATGATCGTCTCTGTAACACCTCCGTCTCAGAAGTCCAACTCATCGCTTCTTATTTAACGTTCGACTCGAGGGCCCGGTATGTGTTTGTGTGTGACGTCAATCAATAGTCACTTTATATATTAATGTCAGATTTATTTCCATTTCTCTCTAGATATTTGTTAGGCAATAGATAACATAATATATAACAAATATTTAAAGATATTTGTAAACAAAATGACAGAGATATTTATAGTTCATTGAACATTGTACAAAACAGAAAGAAATAAACATACTTTAAATTGATCAATCGTTACAAATTGATGAAAATACGGAAGAATATCTTCCAACTTTAATAAAGGACATTCACGTAATAAACTGATTGCTTCTTGCATATTTCCATTTGTACTAATAATATGTTGAGCTAATATAAAGTGAAACACAATAGAAAAAAAACAACAACTCCAGAATGAAGAGTGCACACATAAATTACCATTTCAAGGCATACATAAGGAAATGCTAACCACGAGACAGTTTTTATCAACGACAGAGCCACCAGTTTAGAGACAGAATGCTTACCAATCAGCCAGGTGGTTTGGGACTCGACCTCAGCGGACGTACTCCTAAACTTCAGTTGGGCGGTAGTAAGCCCTTGGGAAAAGAGAAGACGTTCGGTTCGCGAGGCTAGCGACCTCATCCCGTAAAAAAGACACAACCCCTAATGAAACGTCAAAGCTCAAACTGGAAACCCTATGCTCCACTCGGAACGCAAATGTAGTTTTCATCAGCGAAAAAACCAGTGGAAACTAATGAGTACTATACATCTACGCAATCTCAGTTTTTTTTAAAGATTCTTCTATATCTGTTAAGTATTCCAGTTAGTGAATAACCATTGAGTAGTGATTCCATGACATATATAGCCTCTGATGATCCAGAATGTACATTTGTCGGCAAAGTTAAACTTTCGACACCACTAACAACCAATCAGAAAACGACCTTGAACGGACCAGTCACATTGAAGAGGCATACATGATGAATGGAAATGTATATTTGTAGGAAAAAGCATAAAATAAAGAATAAAAAAGTTACATGGGCTATCTTTCTCGAACATGTGACAGAAACATCTCCCAGTTTAGCATGGGACTGTCAATGGAGAAGTTACACCATATCCTGTACATATATTCATCCAAATGACCATAAATGAGATCCATTTATAGCCCTTATCCTATTTTTCAACCTACCCGAAAATCCTTCAATAGAATTTGTATGTGTCCTCGTAACGGGATCCACAAAATCACTTGAATGGTTGACTCTATGATGAATATATCCCAGAGATGACAGTGAATTGTAGCCTTTCCACTTGTCGGTGTGTATAATTGACCCCCGCTTAACAAGTCTGGTAATAATAGGTATAAGAGTAGTTGCTTTTCTATCTGCTATCCTTAGGGAGAGAAGCAACCTAGCGAAAAAAGTTCCTACGAAATATTAAAATTATCAGCTTACTCTCTCCAGCGTTAGTAGGCTTCAAACATATAGCACAACGATGAACAAACCCATCAGTTGATTTGGTATAGCTTTTTAAAGTCATGATACCACCACACAAACAAATTCGCTCTTTCCGGCGCAACTCAAATCCAGGAAATACTGGAAAACGCTAACCTCCTCGAATTGCAACAATAGCTTTGTAAGGTCACGCATTAGAAAATAATCAAGCGCTCTACAGTATTGAACTGCGTTCGTGAATCTCATTGGATAATTCGACATCGTTCGTGAATCTCATTGGATAATTCGCTGATTGGTAGTTAGTGGTGTCGAAAGTTTAACTTCGCCCATTTGTCATAATCTGATACCATTAGTGAGTGAGTAATTGTCAACACATATGAATTAACTCTTCCCAGTGAGAAGACCACTGGTATCATCTGTGACGAAAACTTTCTCGTCTGCTGATAATTTTGCAGTAGTAATGGAGTGGGGTTTGTGTTTCAAAATGAAGTAGAAATTTGGGTCTTAGTGGTATTCGAATTACATACCCCTAGATTACTAAGCCAATGCTCTACCACAGGTGCCGCAAGATACATATGTTAATGATCACATGAATCGCAACAATTCATTCACAGTTGTCATAAATTAGAAGGAGAGAAAGAGATACATGAAGATCGATCACAAATTGACTTCAGTAAATAAATCATTAATTGAAAACCGGCAAGGAGTGCTGAACAGTTGACTCGTCCTCGTCGGGGACTCTTCAGCAGTTAAGTGGGTGGGTGCGTGTTATCAAAGAACCACACACAAGAGCGAAACAGATGTCCAGCACTCCCAGTTAGTTCTCGATGAATCTCTAACTAAAGTCAATTCCTGGTCAAAATAAACATCAATCAAATCCTTGCACACCAATACTTGGAAGAGAGATCGATAGTATTCTTGGTGCGATTTCCTAGGATAACCTTGGATTAACAAGCTGTTATTGATTTCATGTGTGAAGAAGGTGAGACTACTGCTTCAAATGTTTTTACCTTACTTTCAATTACTATCTAGTATACAAGTGGTTTAACCGATGATGGTTGAAACTAGAACAAATGAAATAACGATCACACAAGGATTCAAATCAGTTTCCTCAAGTTACTACAGTAGGCATTCTAGCTGATTATTAAACTGGTGAGTATTTCTGTATCGTATTCAAATGAAGCCTGGGTATCTTTAATGCAAATTTTTCCAAAAGAGACGTTGAACCATAAGTTTTCATATAAAACTGACGCATTTCTTATTAATTTCTATGATTTCTGATAATTTCCTTCCACAGTCGAAGTTAAACTACAGGAATTCAACTAAACGAGCGAACCAGTGACCTTTAACCCATCCAACTAAGCATTACTAGAGGAGAAGGTTGATGATTTAAGGAAACCACTTTTGTTCCGTTAAGAGACTTAGGCTAAACCCTGCGTTCGAACCCCGGTGGGTGCGTACTGATGAAGGGTCTCAAACTAGGACGAAACAGATGTCCAGCACTCCATGGTTTTCCAATGGTTCTCTAACTGACGTCTTCAGCTCATCGCCAAACCTTCAAACGCCTCAAATCCCTGCAAACCAACAGTTGAAAATTATTCTGATGCACACTAGCGATTGGCTCGATACACGGAGTCACCTGGAGTTCTTTACTGAGAAGTCGTGATCAGCGGGATCCAGTTAATCGACGATGAAATTGGCTGGTGGTTGAGCCATATATCACAAATTAGCAAAAGTTAGAATTCATGGGCCATTGGATCGAGTCCCAGTGGCCATGTAACCAAGAAATCCTGGGTTCGAAACCCCGCGGATGTGTACTAACGAGGAGTCCCAAAATGGGGTGAAATAGCTGTTCAGAACTCTCTGTTTTACCAATGGTTCTTTAATTGATATCAGCTTGTAATCAAGCCTGAACCCCCAAATCAACTAATTCCTTTCTCAACAGCAGATTAATTTTAATCCACCTTAGCCCTCTCTACCTGAAGCTTAATCTCACTCTTCTCTAACCCTGAAAGATAGTAGTAGTGGCGGATGAATACTGACAGTCCTCTCTATGAAGGAAGGACTGGAGGTTATCCTCACATTTTTAAAACAAGTTCCTGTATGATATTCTTACACTTCTTTATAAAGACTTTTATATGAACATAATGGTTTCCATCTCGTCTCACTGGTTCACTTTGACTAGTCAGTCTCAAAATCGTTGGTACATTTGGGTTGGATGGTTTATTAACACCTAATTTCAACTTATATAAGAGTCTTTCTTCGGCTTTTTCTGCATCGTCTTCAATAGACTATTATTCAATAATACTTGATTATACTTTTTTTGAAAAAAAACATATACGAAATCACTAATATCAGGTATCATGAATATCATTGATTCACTTACCCAATTGAATCCATAATTGACGACGTAGATTTGAATTGAAGAAATCACTTTGAGCGATTTCTTTTGCCAATGCTATTTCATTCTAATAAACAAAAATTTAACTTTTGTTTTAAAGAAATTAATAACTTTAATGCATGTGATTTAGTTGTAATCTTTAATAGTGTGAAATATTCCCATATCATGAATTAAAAAGTCAATGGGGGGGTGAAGAATTATTCTTTTCAATAATTTCACCTCTTCAGTTTCTTACAATTATAAGATATAATGTTCGGTGTCGTTACAATAATGGTCAGTTATGCGGCAGATACATTTTTTTTAAATACGTAGAATAACAGGTTAGTAGTTATGGGGTGTCAAAATAAATAGTCGTATTTGTGTGATAAACGTTCTCTGGGCTGAAATCCATTACGAAATATTGTGAAATGGGAGACAATAGTGGTGATTAGTCATCGTAGATTTGTAGAATGTGGGGTAGGAAAACTGACAAGTCAGTTCAAGGTTATAAAAGGTGTCACGTGAGTGGCTAGTACAAAGGAGTGTGTATCAAAGAGGAGATGGTAAGACTGCAATGAGAGGTTCATAATGAAATAACGAATGTGTGAAATGAAACAGGTGGAGGCATATATTGAGAAAAGAGATAATATCACCAATAATAAGTCCGGATACTATAAATGAAAATTCTATAGTATTGAGGGAATGTTTGCATGAAGGGCATAAATTGCGACGAATAATAATAATAATTGTAATAATAAGCAAAGAGAAAAAAAGCCAAGAGGGAAGAGGCACTATTGGTGAGAAGAGGAATCATCAATCGAAGTTTGGCCACGGTAGGAACAGAGTCTGGACGTGTTCCTTTTGGATACAAAGTTCCAGTTTAGTCGATCTTATTGCAACAGCTTCAGCTATGTGTAGGAGACGTAAGAGAACTGTACATGACAAGGACTTTGGAATTTGGTATATAACCCTGAGAGCTATGTTGACATCGATGCGATGTCTAGTAACGACCAAGTGTGACCGGATCGAGCTTTTTATGCACTTGATTCCCCCCCCCTCCCCTGCTGAATCAAGCTGGTAAATGTTCTCGACCCCGTAGACGAACCTGCCTAATCGTGCTCCCTATATAACTTGAACCACAGGAGCAGTTGAAATGGTTCATGTTTTTCTACGTTAAAAATGTATCCGCCACATATAATTGACCATTATTGTAACGACAATAAATACATTATATTTGATAAATGGAAGAATCTGAAGAGGAGAAATTATTGAAAAAATATTCTTCGTTCCGATTGACTTCTATTTGTAATCACTTTTTTTTAATTCTCAAGAGTTAGTTTGTAGGAATTCTGATCTTTTTCAAGTTAAACAGACACTGAAAACTAACGGGAAGTACTGAACAGCTATTCCGTCCTATTTAAGAACTTTTCAGCAGTATATACAGCCACGATTCCACTGGGGTCCAAAACTAAAAATCTTCAGATTAAGAGGCAAAGCACGTTCACCGATTCAGTTACTTGGGCCGAGTAAATGAATTCTAACTTCTGTCAATATTCAAGTCAATGGTGTGTGTATTTCTCCTCTTAGCCGACCTTGTGGACCCCACTGTCCACGACTTCTGACTAGAATACTCCAGGTAACTTCGTTCTGTAGTCAGTCACTACCGTTTTCTATCACTGAACAGCCGATGCACAACTAAGGGGAAAGGGTACCAGACGGTTATATCATCTTAGGTTGAAACTCTCCAGCAATATGCACTCATGATCTAACCGGAGGACGAAACCTGACACTTCAGGCGATATAAACGAATATTTAACTCGAAAATGAATAGAATTCAGGATTCCGGGATCGATGATAAATTCCACCAACACTAACTGCTGAGATCTAAGATGCAAACAATTTTAAGGGTCTCAAATTAAGTTAGTTATCCAACACTCCTTGATTTTCAATGACTCCTTTCTTTTTCTGTAACGGATGTAGATTTTTGACGAAATTTACATTAGAATCAAGAATTTTGAATCAAGAGTAAAAATAATGCAGTATTTATAAATGGAATATATTTCAGAATTAGTGTTCCCAAGAAAGCCAATGTCATCAATGTTACTTTGGAATCTCAAAGCATACCTATTCAAGAATAAATTTTAGGCAGTAGTTTGAATTTAATTGGTGGATGGTGACGAACAGTGGGATCCGGGATAAAGCGGATTTCGTCCTATTTGGGACTCATCATCTGATTATGTCTGTATTCCGCCGAGGCTCGAACCAAGTGCACATAGTTTCAAACACCAAAGCGTTATCCACTTTGAATTTTCCTGTTGCCTGCATAACGAGACTATGTAATTAAGTGGACATTATTCGACTCTTGAATAACTGTAATATATGTAAAATTCTATTATTAGTACAGACTTTATAGTGCCTCACATCTACTAATTACCGACCGTGATTTAGTGGTACAATACTCGCCAGCCGCGTGGGAGGTCGTTTCGATTTCTGAATCTCGCCTAGCTGTTAAACAACTTGGGAAAGAGAAGTTGGGCGTAATGCCCTATAAAAAAACACCATCGTACAAAGCTTGAAACCCTATGCTCCAGCTAGGAAAACAAAAGAATGCAGGTTAACAAATCTGGTTCTAGGATATTAGATGGCAGCTTTCAGACATTTACGCAACCCATAATATAATCACTATTTTTGATGCTCCCACACAGAGAATTGTCGTATTGATTACAAGTCGAAATAAGCTGATTGACTGTATGTGAGATCTAGTGACTACTAGTGTTGTTCATCGATGCTTAATGTAGATAGTCATCACTTTAAGCGTCAAAAAAACCCACCATAACTCATAGGACTGAAGAGATTAGTAAGCAAATAAGAGGCGAGCGGGAGTATACACTGTGAGTTCATTTTTCAGCTGTCATCAAACAAATAAAGCCTTAAATAAAAACAAACTTTAATCCTATAGAGGTGAAGTTTGTTTACGATATTTTATATTTCCCAGCATTGATAGATTTGTATATTGAGCCGGCATCCTCGGTGTCTCTTGACGTGTCAGCACATACTATGAACGACCCAACAATGTCTGGAAATCAACAATCAGGCTGTTTGGTTTTTTGTAGATAGTAAGCCAAGTGAATAACTTTTTCGCCGTTTGAAATGACAGGTACAAGGTTCGAGTCTCAGTGCGAACAATATTACTCATTGAAGGATCCAGCTACATGCAGACTGACGAGTTACAAACAGCGAGAAATGTTTATCCTCAATTTCACTGTTAATCACCACCCATCTACCAAATATCTATAGGCTAACAAAAGTCTTAATCTAGTATTGGTTTGTAGGGATTTGGTTGATTGGTTACAGGATTTCATCATGAGAGAACCGTTGGAAAACCAGCTGAGAGTACTGGACAGCTGTTTCGTCAGCCTAGTTTTGGACTCTTTAGCAGTACGTACCCACCGGGGTTCGAACCTTGTAATCAGGAGGTCCTGGGTTCGAACCCCGGTGAATGCGTGCTGCTGAAGAGTTCCAAACTAGGCTGACGAAAGAGCTGTCCAGTACTCCCAGCTGGTTTTCCAATGGTTCTCTAACCAATGTCAACTCATGATGACACCCTGTAACCAAAAGTCTTAATCCTCGTAACTTTATAAAAAGTGAAAATAAAGGCAGATATCAACGGAAATATATCCCATAATAATAATAGTAATATTAATAATAGAAAACCCACCCATTCAATAGCTAACTGTAAAGCCTCTTGATGCATATCCAATATTTGAAGCATATAGATCATACCCTTTAAATGACCAACTTCTTTGCATAAACGTAGTACAAAACCTGGATCATATGGTAATACTATAAAAACAACAAAAGATAAAAATAAACAACAAGGTAAATAAGATGAGAACAGAGAGTTCTTAGACATTTTTAAAAAGAAAAGCACGAATTTAACTGATTACTAAAAATTATCTTTTAACGATATAGACTATACTTTCTAGTTGAAATTATTATTTAAAGTCCTAAATATATTCAGCATCATTGCTAAGTGTTGTGACTGTTCTTAGAGACGATGAAAGCACTCCTGTCAACGGACAGTCTCTGGCGTTTGCGTGCCAGTGATACTGCTGCTGTTGTTGTTGTGATTGACGTCATCATTGTCACTTAGAGTAGTTTTCGTTGGCTCAGTACGTCGTATTACTGGACACGTTGACTAAAACTATAAGTTTCAGCAGTTAGATTTCATATTATAAACCAATATTAGTTAGAGAGATCATTGAAAATTAGGGAGAAGAACTGGATAACCGTTGCGTCCTTTTTTGGGAATAATCATCAGTGCGTACCCACGACCTTACCAGGGATCAAGCGTTGATCTCATAACCTGAAGGTCACCGACTCAATCCTTGATCTCTCTAACTGATTTTCGTTTGTGACGGAACTTAACAATTCAAATTAATCCAAACCCCCACAAATTTCATGATCTAAAACTGCATGAGTTAGTACAGACTAGTTATTTCCCGATATTGTTGATTAAAATTCTATTGAAGGGATCAATTATTAAGCAGAATATATATATATATATATATATATATATATATATATATATATAGAGAGAGAGAGAGAGAGAGAGAGAGAGAGGAAATACCAGTCGTCAGATCTCGATCAAAACGTACACCAAAAGAGTCTTTCTTTTGAAAGCAAAAGGCTGAAAATTGCACATTTAAATGCAACAGACTGTATAGGAATGGACAAAAGTTAGAAGTCATAGACTGTTCATTGAATTCAGGCTCAGTAGCTAAATATTTAACAGACTCACCTCATAACCAGAATGTTCTAGATTCGATTATCGAACAGACCAAATAGGTGCATACTGTTTCAGAGTTCCAAAGTAAGGCGAAACATCTTCCTAGTACTCTATGTGAAGTTGTATCAACTGAGATAGCTAAGACATGTTGCTATACATGTCAAATCATCACCTTTCTCGTTCAGAAATATTAGCTGATCGTAATGAAGTTAGTGGTGATAAAGCCGAGACGCTGCATCTATCCGTGGAATTTGTGGTGGAGGTGAAAACTGCACGGCTAGGATTCCTGAGAGGTTAAGAATCAATCACTAGAAACCAGACACCATTCGCAATGACGCAAATGCGTTCACTCACTCTCTCTTTCTGATCTCACAGAATCATCATATCTCCGTACATTTCGGTGTATTAAATTTTCTTTTCATTTCTTTATTATCAAACATTCTATGCAAAATTCTACGGTGAAAATTCTTTTCAGAAATTTTTAGGTATTAAACTGATTATCGATTTGTGATGAAGTGCATGTAACATAAATTCATTACTCAATAACTGAGACTGACATTCTGAATACGCTGAGTAGTTTTTAACAGGTTTGATCATATGCTGATATCACTTAGGGAACTATAGAGAAGACAGGAAGTCCTGAACAGTTGTTTCATCTTAGTTTGAGACACCAGCAGTATGCATACACCCACCGGGGTTCAAACCCACGACTTTGCATTTACACCTCCTGATCAAACTTGCAGGCGAATCAAATCAATGAAAACCAACGCTTGAAAAGTTTGAGGTTAATTGGTGGACGGTGACTACCGGTGGAATCCAGGATGCTCATTTCGTCCTATTCGGGACTCATCAGCTAGTGGATGTACCTGCATCCCCCAGTCACCGAGTAATGATGTTCCCACCAAGGAGTTTAGTGGATAACGTTTTAGCGTTTGAAACTATGGGTACTGGGTTCAAGCCTTGGTGGGAACATCATCACTCACTGACTGGGGAATGCAGGTACATCCACGAGCTGACGAGTCTCAAATGGGACGAAATGCGCTTTGTCCTGGATTCCACTGTCAGTCATCATCCCACCAATTAACCTCTAATTACATGCCCAGACATCGTCGAAGCATCTGAGCAACCTGAGACCGAGCACTTCGGTCCAATCAATCGACGGGAATAGCTTAAAAAGTTTGTTAAAAGTTAAATTTTTTTTATTCAATACAACAAACAAATGAGTGCGCACGCCCTCTCTTGTTCGCGCAGAGAAAGAGATAGAAGTAGAAGAATATACTTACATGATTGTATATGCTGTTCAGCATTCAACTGATCATATTGACTATTTAAAAACTTTAATGGATTAGCAGCACCTCCACTCGATGTCATCTCATTATTACCATCATTATACTGACGATCCAGTAAGGATAATTCAGACAGATCAAAATCTAATGATGGAAATAGATAGGAATTCCCGTCCAGTGTTGAATCATCTGCATTACCATCAATATTCCCGTTGGCATGTTGTTGGTGTTGTTTAATTTTTCGCATATTAATAGCTTGTACACTAACTTTTTCTAAATACTCTAATAGTTTATCACTTTTACCATCCTTCTTTAGCTGATTGTTATTATTATTATTATTATTATTAGTAGTAGTAGTAGTAGTACGATATTCATTAGCATATAATGAGATAAGCATATGATGTACAGCTTGATGTGTTCCACCACCGCAATTTGTATACGAATGCTTAGTAATTGTATGTTCTAAATATTTGATTGCTTGATTCTCTGGTAACAGCATAATGCAAGGCAGAAGTCTATGGAAACAATAATAATAATAAGTTTAAAATGGTATTATTATTATTATTATCAAAATTAATTATAATGACTTAAATAAGATAAAACGTAACTGATAGAAGCGAACTGTGTGTTTTTCACATTCTGTACTACAAGCTAAAGTTATGTGACAGCTGATGACGTAACCGAGTCTTCCTAGGCTAACATAGATGAGAAACAACTCATATCAGGTGTGCACTGGTGTTTAACCCACTGAGTTATAGGTCTACTAATGTAGGAGTACAATTTGAGTATTACTATTACTGTTATTATTGTTCCCTTGGTTTCCGAGTGTAACAACATACGCTTCGACAATACATCTCTACTTCATCTTATTCTCTACAGTCCTCTTCAGCTGGGTCCACGACTACCCATAGTCTATCATTTCCTCCTCGCCACACCATCTCCTTCATGTCACCCTAGCACTGACGACCCACTCGTAAACGCTTCCTATACGACTTCCAAAAAAGCAATGGCGTGCATTGCGCGCGATGCCACTAGACGGCCTCCTCAACGTATGCTCAATCGATCTACGTTTCCTCATATATTTTTTAAGAAATCGGCTCTTGGTTGGTTCGTCACCTCATACGGTTTCTTGTTGCTAATTCTTTCTGGCTATCCAGCGAAAGGGGCAGCTGTTGATAAATGTCTGTTACTTGCTGGCAATTCTCGTGATACGCAGTGCAATTTTCTGTCTCGTATAGAAGAAATGACTGACTAACTGACTTCCCATTTGTGTTGAAAATGCGAATTTTTTTCCTTATGCTGAGGCGGAGTGCAGAAGATTTTCTTACCGGTTTCGTTTTCGTTTACCGATGGTATTGTTGTCGTTGTTATGGATGAGCAGTTTTCATCAGCTCTTTCGGTGAGTAATACTTATAGTCTGCTAAATCATATTACGTGAAATACTATGCACAGCCTGTTAGATGACATACAACATGTGGCTGAATAGTAATTTGCTTATCTTATAACCTAACAGGCTTCAATTCAACTGGCAATGGACTCACTGATGCACAGTGTTAGACAATCTCATACTCCAAAGAAACAAAAATATACTGGTGTAAAATTATTGTTAATTTTCAGAGTGTGGGTTTTCCAGGGAATTTGACTGATTTCAAATCAAGATTAGAAACCAATACGCATCGGTGGTTCAATGGTAGAATGCTCGATAATCACGCCTCACGTGATCGGGGAATCGATACCCCGTTGATTCACTCCTGAACCTCATTAAGCCAGTCGTAGACCCAGCGAAGAAGGAAGACTAGATATGAAGCTTCCAACCACACTAGGTATAAATAAAAATCATTGCTACCGAAGTTTAAGCTTGAAACCTTATTTTCCATCAGGAACGAAGAGGAATACAATCATAGAATTGGAAACCAAAGAGCACCGTACGATCATTTCATCCTAGGTTGAGCCTCATCAACAGTGCGTGCCCTCCACCAGGAGACGAAACTATGAAATTTAGAATCCTAAACTGGGACAACTGTTCAGAGTTTCTTGGTTTACAGAGGGTTTTTCTAACTGATGTTGATTCGTGACGAAATCTGTACTTTAATGTCGATCTAAGTTTTTATTTATCGAAAATTTAAGTGTGGAGCACAATCCAAATCTCCTTAAATCAGACGTCTACATTCCTTTCTAATCACAGTTAAGACAATCGACAATTAATAATTAATGAGGCTACTCTATATCACTAACCAAAATTAAAGAGTAAGAGAAAATATCAAAATAGTATAAAACAGCGCTGTAATCAACCGACTGTCGATTTCAAACACTGCTCACTTTGTAAAGTGATGCAGATAAATAGACTGACACGGTCAAAACTGAAACCAACATTTTAAGCCAATGACTGTAGCAGAGGAAGACGTCCAATCTGGATTTAGGTTACATTGTGTAAATGGCACAATCTCATTGGACAATCTTGTTTAACCTTGGGCCAATTGCCAGCCAATCAGAATGATTTATTCCCCTCTAACCTGGCCGAACTTCAATGTGACTAAGAATGTATAAATATGATGTATTTTTCCTCAATAAAAAAAATCGTTTCAAATTTTTTTTCAACAACATGCAAACTACAGGTAAGTGTAGATTTTAAAAAAGTCGAAAAATTTGTTAAACGAAAAAGTAAAGTAAAAGAAATTGCAAATACATGTACAGTGGCGGGAGGGACGAGGGAGGGCGTTCGAGGACTTACTTATTTGATTCCAATTTATTGTCTAAACGTATGCATACGTTAACAAATTCCTCTGGAGATTTACTAGCTAAACATGATGCATAATCATAAAATCGATTGATACAAGTAGGTTGACTAGCCAATAGTTTTAAGGCTTCATTGTACATACACTGACGCATATAATGATCCACTAAACGCGAATAATCTAAACACAGAAGGTGTTAATTCATACACATATAAACACATATTTTATTTGTTTAAAATAATATAAAATGAATACGATATCAGTTGCATTTCTTTCAAGAACAATAACGACAATAATAATTAAATCTACTTAATTTGTTCAATTTATTTCGTGCATCTCCAATTGATTGATTTCTATTAAACCGAAATGTTTGATGTCAGTTGACGTGTAGGGCTCCTAATACGGACGCTTCAACGATCTTGACAACATGATGTTATTTTACTTGATGGGGGCTTGTTGTGCATTCCAAGATGAGCATCTTGTCTTATTCGGGAACTCATCAACTGGAGGTACTACGTCCACTTCAAGTTTGACAACCGACTGATATAAGTTGGAGAGCCATCGAAGACCAGCAGAGAGTAGTGGACGGCTGTTCCGTTATTGTTCGCGACTTTATAGCAGTACACAAACACGATCCCGCCAGGGATCAAGCCAGGGGCCTTGAGGGTACGAAGCCAAGCTCATTGACTAGTCAACCCACTTGGGCCGAAATTCCATGACCCTCAAATTTTAACATTCACCATTGACTGATTGCAGGAAGAAGTTGCCTGGAGCTCCAGTGAGGTCCACACCAGGTTGAGAATGAGGAGAAATACTTGCCAATGACGTCAGCTGATGTTTGTGTCGAAATCTCTAAATGATAGAAATTACAATTCACAAGTCATAGGATTCCGAACCAAGTGGCTGAACTGTCTACGAGCTTGCCTTGTAACCTTAAGGCATAAGGTTTGAACCCTGCTGGGTGCATACTGCTGAAGAGTTCCGAACATTAGACAAAACAGCTGTTCAGTACTCTCTGGTCTCCCAACGATTCTCTAGCTGATGTGACCTCTCCATTAATCCGGTAAAATGCAGTTTAAGATTTCAAGTCAATCCGAATATTTAGTATTCTTATTTTTACTTGGAAGGTAAAAGACCCATCGGTTCATAACCGAGTTTAATATTCTTATTTTTTGCTTACTGCATGGCTGCTGTTTGCTTGAAGGCATTTACCTGTATCAGATTTTTCAGGTACAAAACTATGAGTCACAGTTTATTATGTGAAGGGTAATGATACCACGCAGTCATCCGGGCTGAGGTAGGTGAAGCTGGACTCAAACCCGGGGACGCATAGGCCGATAAGCGAATTTAGCTAGTAAACAAACTTCTATGAAGTTTCGATGTGCTCATAGAGATGGAGGATACTATATTACACTATATGTTGTAGTTTAGTATGCTGTAAGTGGAAGTGGGGAATGGAACATGGATGAGACACAGGAATCAATTACGACAGCGCTATGTGACGTCCTGAGAACCTGACATAGCCCTATATCACCTACTTAAAACACTCAAACTACCTCCAGTTGATATGACAGTAAACTGGCATCGATCTTCGTTTTCTTGTTCACTCTTTCCATTGGGAGGTTAACAAATCTTCAAGGTTCGAAGTTGTTTCTGTGGGGTGGGGTTGCTAACTTTACGCCTAATCTTCCCTCTTTTTTGGACCTACTATCAAGAGTCAGTAATCTAGGCAAGGTTTAGGAGTGAAGTAGTCAGGGGTGAAGCCCTGAAGACCACCTGAGTGGCTGGTAAGTGTTCTACGAATGAATCCCGAAAGCGCAGTTTACAATTATTGTATTTAAGATGACTGAGGAAATTCATGTTGACTTACGAATAGGCGTTAAGGCATACATATTATTGATTTAAGTATAAAACTTCGGCACTGTAGTAGTGTATAACTCCATTACGGATAAAATTTTATTTTGATAAATCGCACAGTGTTGTACAGTAATTTTAACTGATGACGTTTTGAGCACAAATTATTACTCATAATCATATCAAGTCACTCACACAACTTTTTGCACACATTATGCTGAAGAGGAATTTAACTGGTAAGCTTCAAATAGAATCAACGATTTCTGCTGCGTCAGTGGTTTAACGTTCAAATGATCGCCAACTACGCACGTGGACTGAGGTTCGATTCTTGATCGATGCCAGAAGTAATATCATCAAAGAGCAAAGGTTGGCCGTAAGACTAGTTACTACACCTCGTGAAAAGAAACATCACCTCTACTGGAACTCTAAAGCTGAAGCTTGAAGCCCTATATTACACTAGGAGAACAAAGAAATAAAATAAAAATATAAACATCATGGCTATCTACCAATACTACTACTAAGCAGCATGTCTATAGACTTAGAAATGGGCCTCAATAAATCCAACAGTTACAGGATCTCATTATGAGCTGACATTGGTTAGAGAACCATTGGAAAACCTGGACAGCTGTTCCACCCTACTTTGAGACTCTTGAGCAGTACGCACCCACCGGGGCTAGAATCCAGGACCTTCTGGTCATAAGGCGAGTTCGTAAACCACTAAGCCACTGGAACTCAATCTAATGGCCCATGAATTCTAACTTCTGCCAATTCACGATATAGCGCGACCCCTAGCCAATGTCTTCGGCGAATATTTATCCTTACATCCGACCTGCTACACCCTACTGGTCACGACTTCTCACTAGAAATCCAGGTAACTACCTACCTGAATAGGGCAAGTCGCTAGTGAGCATCTCATCGATATTCAAGTGTCGGTTTGTAGGGATTTGATTGGTTAGAGAATTTCATCATGAGTTGACATTGGTTAGAGAACCATTGGGAAACCTGGGAGTATTGGACAGTTGTTTCGTTTGAGACTCTTCATCAGTACGACGAAACAGCTATCCAGTACTCCCCGCAGGTTTTCCAATGGTTCTCTAACCAATGTCAGCTCATGATGAAATCCTATAAACCAACACTTGAAAATCCAACAATTATTTCAAACAGTAATCGTATTAAAGAATAATGACAATAGTAATAAGAAGAATGTAGAACAATTCAGACTTACCTCCCATCAATTCAGTAAGGTAAATAAGTTCATCATTTTCTCCATGACTTTCTAATAAATCGTATATTACAAATTTGGCGTTAGGTAGAAACTTCTATTGAGTAAAATCCATAATAAAAACAGAACCTTATGTGTATTTGGAAAACATTTTTTTTCAAAAGCACAAAACATTTATCATGAAAATTTATGCAGAAGAAGAAATCAAGTGGGCCAGATACGATAATATGCTCTCGCAACTGAGTGGAATGATAATTGAAGATGAAATGTAAGCATATATCTTGTAAGAAGACAAACCAGTGGCATGTAGATAACTATAACTTGCCAGTTTATGAACCGAATTCAGATAACTGGATCTCCATTCTGCAGTTCATTTGTAGCTTAGTCAGTAAACAGTTGATCGAACAATCCTGAGAACGTTATATCGTATCCCGCGCAGCAACAAAAATTATTTTTCAAGTATTGCTTTTGTAGGGATATCGTTTGAATGGTTGGAGGATTTCATCATGAGCTGACATCAGTTACAGAACCATCGGAAAACCTGAGAGTACTGGACACCTGTTCAGTCCTAGTTTAGGACTCTTCAGAAATAAACGCCCACACTACGGGGTTCGAACCCACGACCTTCTGGTTACAAGTAGAGCTAGCTCGTAGACCATTAAGCCACTGGGACCTGATCCAATGGCTAAGCCATGAATTCTAACTTCTGCCAATTCATGACATAGCGCGACCCCTTCTCAATGTCTTGTTCGATGAGTTACCACCTCACCTTCAACCAGCTGTCCAGTACTCCCAGGTTTTCCGATGGTTCTCTAACTAATGTCAGCTCGTGATGAAAAATTGTTTCTGCTTTACCTTCAGCCACTGCTTATTAAAGTAATACTAGTCTGTCAGTCAAGTACTATCAAGTTTGTCTCCCCAACAACTCTTTATTTGACAGCTGAAATAAAGACATCGATCGTTTGAACCACTTCGCAGAGTGTAAACCTATTTTCACCAGAGAGCATATATATCTAGTTAATGGTCATCATAAGGAAGAGAACTTCAATCATTCTGCTATACATAATTTTTGTGAATAATTACGGTAGATGCCCTTCTATCCTTTGCTAACAAGCTTTACTTACCGGAGCTGAAAAACCGTGATTCTTAACCAGTGGTGCATGTAAGCTGCGGAATCCCATGGGATGAAACGCCTTATGAATCTGTTTTGGGAACGTAGTTCCTGGTGCTGCGCCACTTCCTTGTCGACAGAACTTCAAGTCAAAGGCTCATAAAACAACTACCTGATTCGGTCTCGGCGTCTGAATAGTATTCCAACACTCGCACAAACTATGAGATTTTGTGATGCATTTCTTCGTGACTATAATGTACCGAATTTGTGTTCTAATACGAAATAAATATAACCAACCTACAAATCTCCCTTTAAAAAAATTTCCATTTTAAGTAGACATGCGGACTACTGTAAGCTGATATGACATATTGAATTATGTGTATTTAGCATTACTTAGTAATGGTCTAGATTTTCAGACTTCGTATATGCCTACTAAAGTAAAAGATTTATCATTACCAATATTACTATTGAGATGGTTCGGGGTTCGACCCCCAGTCGATGCACCCGTTTACCTCACTAAGCCAGTAATAAGACTGATAGAGACGGAAAGTTGGGCAGAAGAAAAGCAACCCCATCCTGTAAAATAAACACTGCTACAGAAAATTCAAGCATCCAGCTTGAAACCCTATGTTCCATTGGGAGCGCAAGGGAATAAAAAAATTATCATTATTAATAAAACACAAACTTGGCACATTATGATGAACACTAACAGATACACCACACAAGATATTATGGTTTTTACGAGGGATGAGATACCGCCTGGACGCTCAGATTAGAACAGGTGGTTGACTTAGGGAGGCACTCACCGAGCCTTTGACTAACAATCTGATCCATAAGACAACGCAGCATCATCAGTAGCAGCGTTCTTACGGTTTCTAGTGACCAAAACAGGTGCATATACCATTTGATCCTTTTGGATTGTGGAGTCCATGTACACCATAGGTTTGGAATCACGAGTTTCCGGCTCCCTTAGGTAGATCTGGATGTTCACCAGTTTGAATGTAAGTGTGACAGACGTTCAGATTCACCCTTTCACTTTTTGTGAGGAACACACCATGTGAAGGTAGTGAATACGAATTACCTGACAGAGGCTATGAAGGCATAGCTATAGGAGAGCGTTTCGAGAGGAACACATAAGTCTTCCCGGCCGCCCACCCGCCCTTGATCGTACTGGGTCGTTTGTGGGGGTCAAAGATCAGAAGTAAGTCAAAGAAACAACTAAAACAACCATAAGAAAAAGCTGAAACAGTATAGTTCTCATTGACATACAATTAAACGGAACGGATTTTTCATGCACTAAGTTATCAAGAAACACATCTTTACGCCTTCCTGTTATTAGTAATAAGCTAAGATGAGGGCACTAAGTGATACTTCGTCAATATTCAATTCAGTATACAAAATCATTTGTATGTATTTAGCAAAATTATAGCAAAGTGATAAAGACAATAATTTGACAACTGGTATTACAATACAATAAAGGTAGAACAATGATAGATTACTAGTGCTTCTGGTCAATTCATGTGAAGCTATATTATTAGATTTGTTAGACTAACTTTCGACCAATAGGAGATGATTTTGAATATTATTAACCTATCAGTACTTTGTAAATAATTATTTAACGCAACGAGTCTGGTTCATTGCCAAGCACAACCAATACACGAGTTAATATTGGTTTTCATCATTATACACTTTATTATATTTGATTATGACTTTGAACAGAGAACTTTGCACAGAAGTGTAGCATTTCAACTGGCTACAATTCACGAAAGGGAAAAAGGTAGAGAAAACTAAAAGAACTATCATGAACATAAATTTACAGGAGAAAGAATAATTACATGACGAAGAATACAGACCTAGTGGCTCTCAAATTGGAGCCACCAAAAATTTTAAACCATTGGTTCTTAGAATCCCGAGGACCTAAATCAGACAGCTAACATCAGTTAATCAAAAGTCAATGACTGCATGAATTGATGTCAGGTTTTGAGTTGAAAATTCCTAACTTTTTCATAACTTAATCCGATGTCAGCTAACATTGCACGACAAGAAAAGTGATGGCTTGGAATGCACACATTCCCTAGCCATCTCAGTCAATGAAGCTTCCATCGCCTTCCTCGATAGTGGGCAATGCTAGCTGAATGATATAGGGTCAGGTTGGAAAAGAGCCAGTGGTGGTCAAACCAAAATATGGCTTCATCAGTCAACCAAATCCACAAAAGTTAGTTTAAGCCAGTCATGTAGGAAAGTGTAGGTGTCCCTGGTTGGAGTCCTAGGGACGGTAAACGCCAATGGCTGGAAACAATCAGTGACATGGCTCAAAATCGTTCACAGTGACAGCTCAGATGCATCCACTCCTTGTGACTTATGATTTCCAATGAAACTGTTTTGTTCTTCGTTACCACTATTCCTTTGTCTTACACCTCTGTTTACTGTCTCTATTATGCATTTCTTCTACTTTCTTCTCTTGCTTTGTGTGCTACATGGAGCGTGGCGACTTGAACTGCTGCATATTGGCACAAAGTTATATGTTGAAAACAGACGAAAAGACATATCACGCCTACACCAAAGATAATGCACATTGATAAATTTTAGACTACCCTTTTGTATCTGTGTTAAGATATCGTCATCAATCAGACTGCATTAAAGTTAATGCAATTGGTCAAATAAGTGAAGCAGACATCACACTCAACAAAACGTTATAGTGTATGAAATAAGAAACCAGAATAACGTTTGTAGAAAAAATATTGGTGTAGTTCCTTTCCCTAAGCTGAATACCTTTTGTAATTGCCAAACTTTCATTGTCTTTCTAGACAAACATCTTTAACACATACTTTAATATGAAGTAAGCTTATTCTTCGAATTCTCCATGAGTAATAAAACTGTCTTTTCTGATGACCTTGGCTGTGATTGGTTATTATTAAAGTTGGTTGTGATTCGTTATTTCTAACAACGCATCACAACCAACTTTAATAATAACCAATCACAGCCAAGGTCATCAGAAGAGAACTGTATCAAATTCAGATAACTTCACTTCATAATAAAGTCTGCGCTGAAGATGTTATCTTGAAAGACAGAACTCAGCGAAGGCAACTACACTAAATGTCATCCTAAATGAAAAATACAAATCTCCTCTATCATTTTTAGACACAAAAGCTATTGTCAAATGAAAATAAAAATCATAAGCATTTGATGAGACTATTTTACTTACCAATACTTCAGGATATGTTAATATTGTACGAAATTCACGTTTTACAGTAGCTAAATGATTTTGTAATGCAACTGTCATTGTATCATTCTCATTATTTTTACTTTTCTCTTCAACTTCTCCTATATGATGATAATTATAATTTTGTTTTGTTAAACGATCACGTGTAAAACTCAACTCTGTTAAAAGTAGTTCAATTAACCACATAGACAGTAGGATAATTTGACCAGTTATTGAATTCCCTTGTGATGATTTAATCCCGCCTTTTTGATTTTTCTGTTCAATTAAATAATCTAATTTTGCAGAAATGAATATTTTCAATGGACCAAAAGATGGATGAGTCGATGACATCGACATCAATGATGATGATGATGATGATGGCGGTGGCTGTGGGAACAGATTATATTTTACTTGATTCGGTATTGATAACTTGTTCATACCAGAGGATTTATATTGTTGTAAAGATGTATTATCACAGTCTTTGTTTGACTGTGACTTTTTCTCCCCTCGTCCTCCTCCTCCTCCTAGTGGTGATGATAATAATAAAGCTTCCATAATATCATGATCTTCATTAATTTCATAACCTTGTTGAATTAATGAAGATGATAAGGCTGTAAAATGATCTAATGATGTCAGGGATTGATGATCAATTGTTGTTGCTGCACTAGACGACGATAAATGACAAAAACGCAGAGCTATCTGTTCAAATGGTATTGAACTACGCGCAAACATTCTAGCTGCACGGATATAACTGCAAAATAAAGAATAAAACAAGAACAATAAGAAGAAAAAGAAGGAAAAAGATGCAGAGTGTGATGTGATAGGTTTGACGAATTTAGTTTCTAAAGTTAATGCGTAGACTGAACAATCCCTCAGGAAAAAACAAACAACAGAAAACTAGTCACGTTTTATTGAAGAAGAAGAGGGTGTGTATCGATCATATTTTCACCCTTTGACAGACTCTCTATAGCGTAGACATACTTACTAGCATCTAACAAATTACCATATTTATTAACCTGAAGGTAATATTTGACTCTGTCGACCGTCAGGTGCCACAGTGATGCCTTGCCGCGAAGGGAGGGAGGGGGCAAGAAAGCATATAGCACTAATTAAGGCACTCTAGTCAAATTCAAAAAGGTATGTAAGAGATTATGGAGAGTTTTTACCTGAAGTGATAATCAACAATGATGTTCGTACCCATTTATGTTTAATTTTATCATACATATACTGATGGATACTATCTAAAACAGGAAATAGTTCTGGAGCTATCTCACTCCCTTCATTGTATATACATGAAAGTATAATCTAGTTGAATACTTCATCGAAAAGAAAAAATGTGTCTTCACTTCAACTGTTTTTTGTCTTTCCCTGTCTTTCCCTTACTCTAAAGAGTATTATGCATCATAAGTTAATAAAGAAACTGATCAATTTTCTACAATTATCAGTCCAATTTACTGAGGTGGGCGCTAAAACTTGTTTCTGGATAATTGTAAACTATAGTAGCCCGAAATGAAACTACCTGGTAAACAGACCTCAATGACCTCAATCTCAACCAATCATACGGGTCCTTAGTAAAAATGCGCGTAATTTAAAAAAAAACTCAAAAGTTTAAAGCAATTAGTTCCCTTCATGAATTTCGACAATACAATAAGATAATACAATCAGATAAATTACGTCTTTTCATTGTGTTGTCGAAATTAAAAAAAAAACTCCTTTGTAAACATCAACGTAAATGTTATAAAATAGAGTTATACGAGGTAGCTTTTTTGTATATGTCCAAAGAAAACCTCCTTATTCCTTATTGGAGTCTTTAGTGAATAGTCGAAACCTATTTGTGTACATAAATTCACCCAGATAACTGGATATAATTCTGTTTTGTGACTTATTCACTGCTCGACAGCATCTATGAATCTAAAAAAAAAGGAACGACATATCTACTCGGATAGATATTCTCTAGCCATAGTCTGGATATCTGTACACATATCCATGAACAACTGATGCATACCTCTGAAAAGATATTAATCCTCCACATCTACGAGCTTGTTAGAAAAGCCTGTTATACAGTCTCTTGATAGAATTCGCAAAGTTATTCATGTACTGCAAATGCAAATCTATGTATCACCGAGTATTTAGTACAGGCTCATCTGACTGACTGATCTAGGTGATTACTTCCGTCGACTTAGGTCTTACGTTTTGGTTGCTAATATTTAGAGTTACCTATCTGGGTAAGCATTATTTGAAATATAAATATATCACCTAAGTCACGTACACTAAAACGCGACACACACACACATGACTACATCAATATTACGCATTCTCGATTATCAGACGCCTTATCCATTAGGCCGAATGTTTGGCATGTGATTCGCTCCCGCCAAATGCAAGATGATGTTACAGGACTGGACTACATCGACTCCTAGATGCGAAACAGGGAATGAAGTGGTAAAGCACGTTGACCGCTTCACTTATTTGGGAAGTACCATCAGCCAATGCCAACGGGTTGATCTCTGACGAAATCTCACCACGGATACAGGGGGGCTCGTTTCGCATTTGCCAAATTACTCCGTCTCTGGCGTAGACGAGATATCCGACTATTGACCAAAGGGCGGGTGTACTGCTCATCAGTCCACTCCGTCCTCCTTCATGGCCGGCTGTGAGACCTGGCCACTGAGAGTGGAAGACATGAAAAGATTAGCTGTCTTCGATCATAGGTGCCTGCGTTCTATCTCCCGTGTGAAGTGGCATAATAACGTGAGCAATATTGAGGTTAGACCTTGGTCGAGTGCTAGGTAAACAGGGGAAATTAATCGACGAAGTTGTGAAGTTACAAAGACTGAGAGGGTTAGGACAGGTGTTACGTATGCCTAGTCATCGCCTTCCTCGACGAGCAATGTTAGCGGATATACGGTCAGGCTGGAAAAAAGCTAGCGGAGGTCAAACAAAAACATGGCATCCGTCAGTGAAATCTACAACAGTTAGTCTAAGCTACATAAGAAAATGTAGACTAGCTTCCTGGTTGGGGTCCTCGGGACGGTAAAAAGCAAATGGTTGGAAACAATTGGTGACATGGCTCAAAATCGTTCACAGTGACAGCTCAGATGCATCCACTCCTTGTGACTTATGATCTCCAATGAAACTGTTTTGTTCTTCGTTACTACTATTCCTTTGTCTCACACCTCTGTTTACTGTCTCTATTATGCTTTTCTTGTACTTTCTTCTCTTACTTTGTGTGCTACATGGAGTGTGGCGACTTGAACTGCCGCACATTTGTGAAAAGTTCTATGTCGAAAACAGACAGACAGACGGACCGACTCTCGATTATCGCAAACCAAAAGAATATTTTATGAAACTCACATATCCTGCATTTATCATCCACTGATGAAAGAACACTATTCAAGAAGTACATCGGTATGGTTACCAAACAGAGGAGAATTGATGATTTCATTACGAAATTTAAATAAATGTCTATCGTCGAGGGAACAGTTTTTTCAAAAGAATGGATACTGAACAAAGAGAACTCTTTTCTATAACCTATTCATCATCAGGCTCTACAGTTATATATGTACATTGTAGTGAATGAATGAATGAATTAGTGTTATGAACAATATTAATGTTGCTGTTTAAATAACATCGAATCAATAATACTGATAGATTACAGCTCAATAGCATCAACATAACAATAAACTGAATGTCAGAAAAATTAGGAAAGGTAATAATAGAAATTCATGAATTTATAGCCTTTAATGAAGGCCAGGATAGTATTAGAGCCTGGAGTTGCTTCTTTTTCACACAGAGTACTGGTGGTTTCAGGCGAATTGCAATAGCCTCTGCTGTTTGGAGCATGGGGTGCTTTGATGATTTTGGCAATTTATTAGGCACCCGACAGATGATAGAGAAGGATTCTTCCACGCTGGCTGGCTTTTTGACAGGCTGGTTTGGACCAGATGGTCCAATATTGAACTATTAATGGTTTTAACTACACTTTTACTTAGCCATAGTGGGAGATGTTCTTGAGTGAGCACGAAAAATCAGGTTCCTGGGGCAACGGCCGATAATAACTCGCTCCACCACAAGCGCAGTTGAATTGGTAAATACAATTTTGAAGTGGTTAGTCTAGGTACTTGATCTTTCAGTCGACGTAGCACCATCAGTCGTGTAGAGAATAAGACGTGTAGTTCGCCAGAATTAAAAGTTATTTGAACTGATTTTTTGAATTTGCCACAGTATCTTAGGTTCAACACAACGGAAAAAAATCTCAAGGGGTAATTTATTCAATGATAACAGTAAACCAATAAATAAAATCATCATTCATGGTGGCAGTGTACTCTACTTACTTTCCATTGTCAAAATTATATTCAGCCTCTCGAATATTGATTATATCCATTTGATTTGAATCCTTTTGTTTTAAAAAGCGTATAAAAAAGAAAATAAAACGAAATGTTAATGTGGTGTGTATTACTGACACGATTTATCAGTAGTATATAGATGCAGATTGATAGGAAGTAGACAAAATTGAAAACAACACTTAAGTCAGTGGCTACAGAAGTAGAAGCCTTTACTTCTCAAATCTGGAGTTACCTGACATTATGGTCAGGAAGCCATTTCAAAGTTTGACCTTCAGGAAAAAATCACCAACCAATCGGAACAGTTTTAAACTTTAGAAAAAATCCACTATCGAGTTGCTTACCTTCTCCCGTTACATTACCACTGAGCAAATATTCTCAGTTCCATACAGTCAGTGTTGAGTTACACCTACAGTGTGTGAGGGTTAGTGATACTACTACGTGGGTGTCCGCACTTCTGTAGGTGAAGAGGGGACTCAAACACTAATATAGAGATAAACGAATAGAAATGTTACCTCCGACAGCATAAAATCAACGAATTCACATGCACATGTCAAATCATAATCATCGGATGAACAAAAAAGGCTTTGTGACCACGTATCTGAGGACATTCCAAGAAATTTGCATCTGAAAGATGTGAGTCTTTTTCAGTAGTGTGATCTCTGTTGGATAACAGTCATGAAAATTGATGCATTAAAGTCATTTTAAGATAATTGAATGACATGTTGTTAAACTAGTTGTTGCTATTAAACGGTTAAAACTGGACTTAAGCATTTAGAAAGAAACCATTGTTCATCTTGTTATTTTAAAACTCATTTACTCCTTGGTAAAGGGAAAAATTCTTTGGAAAATTCTCTCCAGAACGATCTAATCACAATATTTACGGTTGATTGGACATTTCAATTAACTCTGTAATGATTATTGTTATCCGTTTTTCTCCCAGACACTGTTTATCATTATTTTGACTTTTGCATACCACAAGTTGATTTAATTCTTATTTTTTCTCTTTGTGTTTGCTTAATCTGCAGCGGTTCGGGTACGAGGACAAATAGTCGCCGAAGACATTGGCTAACGGTCGCGCTATGTCATGAATTGGCAGAAGTTAGAATTCATGAACTGGCCACTGGATCGGATCTCAGTGGCTTAATTAATGGTATACAAGCTCGATAGCCTTGTAACCAGAAGGTTCTGGGTTAGAACCCTAGAGGTGGGTGCATGCCACTGAAGAGTCCCAAGCTAGGACGAAACAGTTGTCCAGTACTCCCAGCTGGTTTCCCAATGGTTCTCTAACTAATGTCAGCTCATGATGAAATCCTGCAACCAATCAATCAAATCCCCACAAACCAACACTTGAATTTTAATGCTTCTCTTTGTGGTTGTATGCTGATATTGATAGTATGTTGGCTTACGAATATGATTTTGTTTGAGTAAATGAAGGCCATTCTGATCTTGATTTTGTTTATGGAAAGCGTTGGTGTGTGTGATTCTTGTGGACAGAGCTTTTGATAACACTTTTTTCGTAATATTTTACTTGATTCCAAGTATTCGTTTTGTATTTAGACTGAGCTGCATAGAAGCTTAGTGACAATGTTGAGTTTTTGATATTACTATTGTTGAACAGAACCACAAACATAGATATTCCAATCACAAACAATCGTCATTTTGCCGTCTTTGGAGCATTTCGTGACTATTTGCTTGTCGAAGAGGTACATAGTAGGAAGCAAGGATCGGTTCTCTGCGTTTACACTACAACAGATCGGTTTAGATCACTACACTCCATGTTAGTGGTAATGAGGCACACCTGTTGTGTGTGAGGTCTAATGACATACTACCTGAGTGATCAAAACTTATTACGTGGAACGGGAATTGAATTTGTGACGCTATGGTTAGAAATGGAGCACTGAAATCAATGAACTACAGCTTCACCTTGACAAATAAAAATTTCATACCTTCAATTTTGAGTTTAACTATGCTCCTGACTGGACTGTTTTTTTGCCCTCTGTTTAACTAAATTAGTTAACCCTTACACGTAAGAGTTGTTGATTTTAAACGTTTATTCGATTTGAAATATCCTTTTGGTAATTCTAGAATATTGTCGTAATTATTTCTATAAGTACTAACTAGCTTAACAACAAATTTGTCATTATGCTGTTTAATCACCTGACATTAATAGCCCCCACCTTTGTGATGAATAAGTGAAGTGAATATTTTGACTATTGATATTAAAGCTTGAAGACAATTTGGTTGATGGTGACTGGAAATGGAATCCAGGATGCGCATTTCGTCCTATTTGGGACTCACCATCTGTGAGTGATGGTGTTCCCACCAAGACTTGAACCCAGTGGCTATAGTCTCAAACACCAAAGCATCTGCACAACTAGCCTACATGCCAACCTGAGACCGAGCACTTCGGTCCAAACAATCGAAGGGAAAATCTAAAATTGCACAAGAGGTGGGCCTCGTAGTCTGGTGGATAATGCCTTGGCGTTTTCAAACTATAGGTTTTTGCTTTATGCCTCGGTGGGAACACCATCACTCACTGTGGAATGCAATGGCATCCGGGTGATGAGTCCCAAATAGGACGAAATGCGCATCCTGGATTCCACTGCTAGTCACTACCCACCAATTGACCTCAAATTGCATGATCAGATATCGTCGAAGAATCTGCACAAGGAGCCGACATTTTAACCTGAGACCAAGCACTTCGGTCCAATCAATCGACGGGGAAATCTGGATTAAATTAAATGATATTTAAACCTGTTTAAGGTTGCATGCAGTTGACAGGAACCAATGAACTAAAATAACATTATGTTATCCTGTTCAATTTGTTGTTCTTGCTCTGCTCAAATTCAACAAGAAAAATAATGGATGTAAAAAGTATAAGCATATCTCAAGTTAGATCACGAATTGACTTCTGCTAGGGAACGATTGAAAACCATCAGAGTGTACTGAACAACTGTTTCATCCTAGTTCAGGACTCTTCATCCGTAAACGACCAGTACCCCAACCAGAAATCGAACTAATAACGTTCAAGTTACGAGGCCAGTCACTGGGACGGAATCCAACGACCCCTGAATTCTAACTGTCGTCAATTAGCGATATACAGTGTAGTCACCAGTCCTTATATCGACACCTTGTTTTACCCTTCTTTTTGGTTTGTACGGATTCGTGATTGATTCCGAGTTAGATCATGAATTGAAGTCAGTTCGTTTCTGAGGCACACTGTAATAGATTCTCATCTCAAAATGTGTAATTTGCAGATGAATGATTTGATTCTATACTTAAGTAAAGCCAAGCTGCTATTTTAATTAAACTAACAATATATAGTTTCTGTACCTGAAACAGACTGCGGGGAGCGAGAAGACAGAAATACGCTGAACCGATAAGAAAACTTTAGAAGATCTCGTCTTAGCGGACGATTTATGTCGGATGTCATATAAACTCGAAGACTTACAGACGAAAATCAGCAAGTTGATTGAAGAAGCAACAAAGACAAAACTTCAAATAAGCACAGAGAGGACGGAGATGATGAGCATAACCAAGCAACAACAGTAACAACAATAAAGACCAATCACTTTCAACAGGAGATATTTCAGAGGTTACTTCCTTCAATTATCTATGATGGGGGGAGGCGGGGGCGTCGTCTCAACTACAGGTGGAACGGATGAAGATGTCAAAGACAGAAACGGAAAAACAAGGTATACATTCTTCACTCTAAAATCAGTTTGGAAATCTGCTGCACTCCACATGAACAACAAAATCGGATTTTCCACACTGGTGTTGAGTCATTTCTTCTACATGGGTCAGAAACTTGGTTCATGAGTCACGGAAAGCATTTCTAACTGCCTTCTATCAATAGCTGCCTTCATTGCATACTGAAGATCATATGGCTAGTCAGACAGAAAGAATTGGCAAACAGAAACCCAGGGGAAAGAATCGACCAAGGATCTATTGCTCAACAAATATGCAGAAGAAAATGGAAATCGATCGGCCACACGCTGAGACAATAGAATGAGATTGCACACCAGGCTGTCGCTCTACTGGAGCCCGAATGGTATAGGACGAGCGAACTCTGGTCCAAGGGTGACATGAAGGAGATCTCGCGAGAAGAGGAGAGGTTGTGGGAAGTCGTAGGGGCTAAAATGAAGATGGAGATGTGATGCAGAAGCCTCATGTTTCCCTCAGAATCCAAAGGAATAATATTATTATAATAACCCTAAACAGAAAGCAACTTAGTGCTGTGTAACCACGGCGCCCAGGAGAAAACTGCTTGAGGTCATCCACACACACACACACACAACTTGATTGAGTTGCTTTTTAAAATTATGTTTGTATTAAGGTCTTACCACGGACAACCGCAAAGAATTAAGGATGTACGAATACTGTGGTTCACCTGTTCTAACTTCTACCGGTTTCCCAGAGCGGAGAGGCAGCAAAATTGGCATGCGTGTCACCTTACTGCTGTTACATTCTTATTCGTTAACATTACAACTTCACCCCCAGACCCCTAACGCAGTGTGGACGACTTACACTATAATGGCAACTAGTTTTATTATAACCGCTATCCAAACGAACTTTCTGCCAGAGTACAACGTGCAGGAACATCAATTCCAGCCGGTGTAGCTCATTGAGTCATTGTGATACTTGAGCCTAACCACTACGCCAGGGTAACAGTTATCCGGTCAGGCTTAGAAAATATGCTGAGATGCAAAACAAAACATACAAAAGCTGCGACATTAAAATATGACACTCACCTTACAAAACTGACGAGCTTCATCGAATTGTAAACGATCCAGATAAATTTGCCATATCCTACATAATTCATTTTTCATAATTAATTGAGCTAAATGACTATTACTAAATATCCAAATACGATTTGAACTAGAATCACGTGATATGCCTAAGGCACGTTCACCACCAATGAGATTACTTAATGGCATAGAATAAACTGCACGACCATCCAGTGTATTTACAGCTTTTATACGATCCATATATACAATGATTAAATGAAATTCTGTCATACATATACCTAAAGGGATACCCGGTCGTTCAAGCATATGAATAATTGGATATGGTATGAGTTTTGTATTTCTCGTCAAATTAACTCCACGACCAGAGAATACATCTTTAATTCGATTTGGATCATCTAAATCCTCTGTAGGTGGTGGTACTGTACTGGATGATGTTATTTCATTTGAAAATGATTTCATATCCGATGATGATTGGTCATTTACTGAAAGTTTTGTAAACGGTGGCATACTTAATTGTTCTGTTTTTATATGACCAAAGTAGATACCAGGACCTAGATGTTGAACAATGAAGCGAAAGGAGTGAAAGTGAAATTAAGACTAAGAGAAATACACCTTGTATGTAAATTATATTTTTGTGAAACGGTAAATTGAAAAAGGAGTGTCGAGCTGGTGATAGACACGGTAATCACGAGTATTGCTTGCCTGCGACACGAACAATGCCTACACAACAGCTAACTGATCTCCCAGCCAGCCCGCACTACTTAAGCGACAGTACACCAAAGATGAGACAGAAAATAACGTTATATTTACACAATAATAATATATGATTCAAAAAATCACCAATGGATACATCAATTAGTCTATAATCCAAGTTATCTTGGATTAACTCTTTCTTTTGACCTATCCTGGTCTTCGCATGTCTTAGCGATTTCTAAAAGAATATTTCGTCTGACTTTTTACATTAAGAAGTTGAGGCACTTAGGCATAACCCAACCACTCCTCCTATTACAGTTTGTCAACTCGTGTATTTTACCTATTCTTCTTTACTGTTCACCCTCGCTCATTTTTTCCTGGATTGCTTAAAAATATGACTATGTCATACTTCGTACAACTCTGAAGACTGTCAGTAGGACGAGTGGCATCGCATTGGGCCATATCGTTGACCTAACCTTCTTTGCACTAATAAATAAACCGTTTCTTCCACCCTTAAAGTACCAAACTTTATTGTTATTGTATTTCTTATTTACAATCCTCTCAATTTTTGGTTTTTATTTATTTTTTTTCTTAAGTGTGAACATAATCTAAGCGGTGTTAATAACTGTTAATTTTGTATTACCCCTCACTATTACTATATCAACACAACATTAGATCCCATAATCTATAACATGCTAAAGTTTCCAAACTGAATCGACAATACTGTTTGAAACAAACTCACTGTTATTATCATTATATTTAATAATCTCAATTCGTGCTTAGAATATTTTTGACTTTATATCGTAAACGTGAACAAATTCCTCCGGTTAATTTTGTTTTAATTTTTAATTTTATTTATATTTTAAGTAAATCAGATGCGAGATATTGTGACAAATGCTGAGAATTCCATTCTGTATTATAAGTACTGTTTTCGGAATAAAGTAAATTATTATTATTATTATTATAATGCTGATCAATAAAATAGTGGGCGTTATTTCCACATAAGCCAATTATGATTGGTTGATTTCCAGACTGGAAATATATATGTATATATATATATACGCCAATAGACTCTTTCAGATTCTAAAGTTTATGTACACCACCATAGGTTAGGAATCAAGATTTGCCAGCTGCTCTAGGTAGACTTGGGTGTCCACACCAGTCCGGTTGTAAACGCCAGACGTTCAGAAACAGACATTCATCCTTTCACTTTTTTTAAAGAACCTCTCCCCCACCGCGAGAAGGCAGTGGGTAGGACTTACCTGAGAGAGGTGGGCTATGAACGCATGACGACATGAGAGGATTTTGAGAAGAAGACCAAAGTTTACCCATCTCATTCAGCCCCGGACCCCTACCAGGTCGTTTTTATGCGGCCTTACACACAAAAGGATAATGATAGCGAAAACACATTTTGAAAAAATATAAGCTAACCTGTCATCCAAGCAAATTTACTCGGGAGTTCATCATTCGGATTACGATAAAGTTTTAAATCACTGTAACCAAAGCTTCCTGGAAATTCAGTTACTTTAGAACCTAAAAGATAATAATAATAATAAAAATAAGTAGAATAATTCAAAAAATAAAGGAATATTAACAGATAATTCACCCTTATTATTAAACAACAGTCCTATAAATTGTAATTAAGAAAATTATGTAACAAAAGATTGAGATTACGGGAACAAAGAATATTCCTTTTGATAACTCATTTATCAAGAAAAATATATAAAACTATAACGATATATGCTATGGAATGCGAACGCACGACTGACCCTGAGATGACCAATCAGAAAAATCAGTGGTTTTTATATAAAAGTGATATTTATTTAACAAGAGAAATGCGAAGAATAATGACAAAACACACTGAAGAGCATGCTTATTCCTTGATGTAACTTAAAAATATTTCCCAATTATGATGAGGAATATTAGTTTTTAGGTTAAAACACTTACTGTATGCGTATTCATCGAGGTGACTGAAGATGAGTTATTTTTGTGATCTACTTATATCTTTTATCCTGTTTTCCAGTCTTCGCTGAAAGCCCTGCATTGAATTAGTATGGCTCTTAGTAAGGAGATCGACAAGTATTTATTAGAAAAATGCATATAAAAAGTAAAGCAGCTCAACCCTAATCCTAAAGAGCTACCAACACATTATCCAAATAGTACTTAAACACGAGATCAGGATAAAATCTGCACTTCAATATTCCATCATAGTGGCCTTAAAACAATGGTAGGTCCCATTATCCAAATGAACAGTATGCTCTTAAGGTCACTGTTGTGTTTGCACTCCTAGATCGTTATACTTTGACTTGACTCTTTATCAGGTCCTACAGTCATACCCGGCATTTCGACCGCCAGTTATCTGTCTGTCTGTCTGTTTTCGACATAGAACTTTGCACAAATGTGCGGAAGTTCAAGTCGCCACACTTCGTGTAGCACGCGAAGCAAGAGAAGAAGGTACAAGAAAAGCATAATAGAGACAGTAAACAGAGGTGTGAGACAAAGGAATAGTAGTAACGAAGAACAAAACAGTTTCATTGGAGATCATAAGTCATATGGAGTGGATGCATCTGAGCTGTCACTGTGAACGATTTTGAGCCATGTCACCAATTGTTTCCAACCATTTGTTTTTACCGTCCCGAGGACCCCAGCCTGGAAATCTACACCTTCCTACGTGGCTTAGACCAACTGTTGTGGACCGCCAGTTATATTGGCTGTTGTTCTAGGCACTTCGCTTTGTTGTGCTCAGCAACAGCTTACAGTGCAGCTAAATAAAGATGCAGCCAAAAACATTAACAATTCTGTATTACATTAATTAGTCTGAATAGACCATAATGACAACATTTATCCGGTACCAAATAAACTACCGAAAGCTTCTAGAAACTGAATACTGCAAATAGCAAAGCTTAAAACACCCGGATATCTGCGTACTACAGAAACAGGCCCAACGACTATTTTTGTGGTGGCATGCTGTGGAACCTATGAATTCACACAATCTGTGTTCCCATTTTTTTTTAAATCTATATTATTATTTCCTTGGGTTACGAGTCAAACATAAGGACTCAACAACACATCTCCACTTTCTTCTGCTTTTCTGCTCTCCCTTTCAGCTGGGTCCACGACCGACCATAGTCTCGCATCTCCTCGCCACACGACCTCCTCTATGTCAACCTTACACCGACGACCTTTTCGTCGCCGTTGCTCATGAGGATTCCACTCGAGCGATGGCCTGCGTTACGCGTGATGTCACTCGACGGCCTACTCAACGTTTGCCCAGTCCATTTCCATTCCCTCCTACATATTTGCTGAGCAATCGGCTCTTGGTTGGTTCGTCACCTCCCAGAATTTCTTGTTGCTGATTCTTTTTGGCCAACCGACCGGCCTTTTGATCTTCAGTATGAAGTCAACGAAGGCAGCTCTTGGTAAAGGTCTATAACTTCTTGGAAATCCTTTTCATGACCCACACGCAGTGCAGTTTTCTGACCCGTATAGAAGAACTGACTGACTGACTTCACATATGCGTTGAAAATCTGAATCTTGTTCTTTATGCTGCTGAGTGACAGCAGAAGATTTTCAAACTGGCCTGCCTTGACATGTTTATCCGTTCCGACTGCCTGTGGTTGAAATCGTGCTTCCTAGTATTATACTTATGAACTTATCACCATACATACACACGCACGGATGATTTGAAGTGGAATCGATTGACCTCAATGATTCAACGTTATTTAAAACAATAATGTTGTCAATAACAATAATCCTCAAACTATAATGAATATAATGAATGTATATAATGAAATATAATGAATGTAATTGTAGAACTTGATGAAGAAATTACCCAAAAGAACATTCTGTATCCCCTAGTCAGTATTTTCAAATTTATAATGAGAACCCTTATCAAGTAAAATATTATACGAAAATTAAGTTTATATATATATATATATATATATATATATATATATATATATATACATGTATTATTTGATTATAGCTTGATTTCACACCGTATTTTAAGTACAAGTATAGAATTTTCAGCATGTAAAATCGGTAGTCCGAATTTCGCAGGCCAACCATTGGTATCAGATGTTCGTCGGTAGGGGATCCAACCCCGGACCATGTGCATGGTCGGCGAGAGTCCTAACTGCTGTGCCACCGACGCACACAAATGAAGAGAGGACCGTGAGGCCTCCCCACAGACAAAGACTACACTCCCGAGAACACACGATTAGGGTCCGTCGCTAGTTTCAACCCCCCGGGGTGCAATGGTGAGCTTCCATCCGGGATCAGAGCATTCTTGATCACCCTGAACCAGCCACCAGGGTGAAATTCCGATGCATTAATTTACCTAACTACTTTAAACATTTATTCCCCTTTATGAGTTTGAATGAAGCAAGAAAAACAGAGGTTCTCGCAGAATAATATTGGTATCATTATTTATTTCGTTGGCTTCTCATCAGCTGCTGCTTACAGCCTAAATAAATTATTATTAATTTCATGTACAGATAAGTTTTAACATACTTGCAAACTTTACATGATGTCAGTTGATAGGCGATTCCGAACATAGTGAACAGTGCCCAGAAAATTACGCTTATATAGTTTTTAGACAGGCAGTTCAAGTTTAAATAAAGTATATGAATGTACCTGTCTACTGGACAACATGCTCTTTGGTGCAGTTAAAACTCGACAGATAGCCTGCTCATGTTAACTTTAACTGTATATACAAATTTACATGTATCCGCAGAACCAGTTACATTGGGAAAACAGAAAGAAGAGCAAACCTCTGATTTTCTGAACATGTACCAAAAGGTTTATGTCTCAAGGAAACAGACGCTTACAATAGGGCCACTACCGGGAATCCCCTAGATACGGGTCATGAGATGGTAATCGCAAAATCCTTTAGAATTATCAAAGGATAAAAAAGCTTAATTCTCCTCAAGTTTGCTAAAGCAACCTCTATCAAGCGCTTGAAACCCGATTTGTGTTCAGAAAGAAGCGGTTATTAGTGTTTACTTGCTCTGGTATCTGGATGTCTCTCTCATTTGATTACTTAATCTTTGGCTTTAACCTCACCCCTCTTTGATATAGTGTAATTTTGCCTGTCTCTTGTTTCTATGATTTGAGTTGAACCCAGTAAACTGTTACCTAATTTACTAATCACTCACTATCTTACATATCTCTCCTCTTTATTAAGTAACTCGTTTACCATTGTATGCATACATTTACTTCGTTTAAATCTGAACTGCCTGTGTAAAAACGATATAAGCGTAATTTTCTGAGCACTGCTCACTAAGTTCGGAATCGCCTGTCAACTGACATCATGTAAAATTTGCAATTATGTTAGAACTTATCTGTACATGAAATTAATAATAATTTATTTAGGCTGTAAGCAGCAGCTGATGAGAAGCCAACGAAATAAATAATGGTACCAAACTATTCTGTAAAAACTGTTGCCCTTACTTAAATACGGTGTCCACTAATAGCAAACGGTATAATACAGTGAGTAATATTGAATTTAGGCGTAGAATATGACATAAGGCAGGGGGAATACAATTGATATGGTTGTGAAACTACATGAACAGACATAACCATAGCCTTCCTCGTTGAGCAAGGTTACCTGACATTAGATTATATTGAGAGATAGATAGGGGGAACGGGTCAGACGAAAACCTGGCATCAGTCTTTGACATCTTTGACTGTTGGTTTCCAGTAAGTAGGCAGGTGTAGAACTATTTGGTTGAAGTTCTGCATGAGCCAGTGGTTTGAGATTGTTGATAATACGGGCTCAGATAGTTGTCAGTGGCACAGATGACTTAACTCTTTATCCTCTCCCATATCCATCAAAACTCTTATGCTTCTCTACGTTATACTATTCTTTTTTCTATACATTTCTGACCATTATGCTTCGACTGAATTTCTCTTTCTCTCTTTTCTGTACTCTTACATATGACATGGAATGTGATAAGTTGAAATGGTTGCTTCACATCTGTGCAAAATTGTGCGTTGAAACTTAGTCAGTTAGTCGGGTTAACTAACCACTAAACTAAGTTACACCGTTAAACTACAATCCCAGAGACTCAGGGATTGACTTATTACCAGAGAATAATCTCGTTGACTTAGAATATGCAGATAATATAGTCCTTCTAGGTGAAGACGCTGACAAAATGCAATGTCTTCTGAACACCTTGAGCAGCAGCAATCTTTGAATGTTTGGCGTGCGATTCGTTTCTCTCAAATGGAAGATTATGCAACAGAACTGGAATACATTGACTCCTAGCTTAAAAATAGGGAGGGAAGTAGTAGACCACGTTGACAACTTCATTTACTTGTGGAACTGCATCAGCCAGCCCAACGGGTTGATCGCCGACGAAATCTCAGCACGGATACAGAAGGCTCGTTTCGCATATGCCAGTTTACGAAGTTTCTGGAGTAGACGTGATATCCGGCTATCGACCAAAGGCCATGTGTACTGCTCAACAGTCCGCTCCGTCCTCCTATATGGTTGGCTGTGAGATATGGCAATTAAGAGCGGAAGACATGAAAAGGTTGGCTAGCTGTCCTTGACCATAAATGTTTGCATTCTATCTCCCGTGTGAAGTAGTATAATAGGTTGAGCAATATTGAGGTTAGGCCTCGGTCGAGTGCTAGGTAAAGAGAGGAAATCAACAGATGAGGCTATGAAGTTACACTGATTGAGATGGTTAAGACATGTGTTACGCATGCATACATGACTAGCCATCGCCTTCCTCGACAATGGGCAATGTTAGCTGACATAGAGTCAGGTCGGAAAAGAGAAAGCTAGTGGTGGTCAAACCAAAATATGGCTTCATCAGTCATTCAAATCCACAACAGTTAGTTTAAGTCACGTAGGAAGATGTAGACTTCTTGGTTGAGGTCCTTGGGACAGTAAACACCAATGGCTGGAGACAACAGGTGATATGACTCAAAATTGTTCTCAATGGCGCAGGTGCATCCACTCCTTGTGACTTATAATATGCAATACAACTATATTGTTCTTCGATATTACTATTATTTATGCCTCATGAATACAAACGTCAAGTAAGTTCTTCTATACGGATCAGAAACTTCGCGGGCGGGTCACAAAGAATATTTCCAAAAGCCTGTTGCAGACCTGTATCAACCAACAACTGTCTTCGCTGGTTCTATACTGAAGATCAGATGGCCGGGGGGCCGGAAACAATCACCAACAAGAAACTATGGGAACAAACAAAACAAGAACCAATCGCCCAACAAATATGCAGGAGAAAGTGGAGATGGATCGAACACTCGCTCAGGAGGCCGCTGGGTGACATCGCGCGCGCGTCAGGCCATTGGTCGAGTGGAACCAGGCCGAAAGGGAGCGGGACGTCGGTGCAAGGGTGACATGGAGGAGACAGTGTGAAGAGGAGTTGAAAGAGTATGGACTAACATTGATGCAGGTGAAAATTAGAGCAGAAGATAGAAGCAAGTGGAGACGTGCAGTTGAAGCCCTATGTTCCATTAGGAACCCAAGGGAACAATAATAATCATGCCTCATGTCTCTGTTTACTGTCTCTATTTTGCGTTTCTTTTTACTATCTTCTTCTCTGGCTTTTTGTGCTGAGTGAAGTGTGGAGACTCGAACTGCCGCACACCAGTGCAAAGTTCTATTTTGAAACCAGACACACAGACAGAGAGATTAGACTATAAAAATAATCATCTACTAATCATGAAACATCAACAAAACACCAAATGACAACAATATATATACCTGCAGGTAATTTATCATCAGAATTGAATACACCATAGAATAGGCCAGTTATATTGGGAAATATTGTTGTATTCTGTGCTCCAGCAAACTGTTGATTGTATTCATTCACAAGACTAGATCGATGACCCGGTGGAACAACTGTTGCAGTATTAGATGAAACACTTGAAGTGATTGTAGTATTTGAGGCTAAATGAGATAGAATTGAACCAGTTATTGATGTATTTGTATTAATCCATCCAGCGAATTGATACATACGACCAGGTGTTGTGGCGAATACAACACATCTTTGTGGTTCACCGACTAATACATTAGCTGAACCGATAGGAAATCGAATTACTTCAATACCAGTTACACTATGGCCTAAATTAATCATCTAAATATGTAATGGAGAGAGTAAAATAAGATCAGTTTAAATATTTCAAAATCATTAGAAATATCAGACTGCATTATGGCAACTTCAACATAACTGTCCATTCCTCAAGCTGGATAGAAATGAATGAAGCGAAATAGCATTACTCAACAATCACTTACGATTCCAAACAGTTGGCAATGGGTCACACCTATTGTGTGTGAGGACGGGTGGTACTACCACACTGTTGACCCACTTGTCACTTCCTATATGGATTCCATGGCCTGGCGTGCGATGTCATTCGGCAGCCTGCTCAATGTATGTCCAATCCCTCTCCAATTTCTCCTATATATTTGTTGAGAGATCGGTTCTTGGTTGGTTTGTTCGCAGAGTTTCTTATTACTAATTCTTTCTGGCTATTTGATCTTCAGTATGGAGCCAGCGAAGGCAGCTGTTGATGAAAGTCTGCAACTGGCTGTTGGAAATCCTTTCCGTAACTGACAAGCAGTGCAAGTTTCTGACCCGTATGGAAGAACCGCCTTCACAGTGGTGTTGAAAATGAGAATCTTCTTCCTTATGCTGAATGCGGAACATTTCTAAACTGGTTTCAGATTGATGAAGGCATGTCTTGCCTTTCTGATTCTGACTTTGACATCTTCATCCGTTCCGCCTGTAGTTAAAACGATGCTTCCTAGATAAGTGCGGGAAGGAAGTAACCTCTGTCAAATTTCTCTCGTTGATGGGGATTAGTGCTGTTTGTTGTTGTTGTTGTGGTTCGTTGGTTATCTTCATCACTTCCGTCTCCTCTATGTTCATCTGGAGTCCTGTCTTCGTTGCCTACTTCTTCAGCTAATTTGTTGGTTTTCACCTGCAAGTCTTTGAGTTTGTGTGACATTAGACGTATATCGTCTGCGAAATTCAGATCTTCCAGAGTCTTCTTATCAGTCGTCCAACGCGTTCCTGACACCTCGCTCCCAATAGTCTGACTCATAATCCGGTCCACCACAATATCATCGGCAGCCAGCGTGAGACGTGCCATTGTCATATAGTTGTTGAATGAAGTCGATAGAGACTTGAGGCACCCCGTCTACGCTGTTGAAGGCCTTCTCGAAGTCGATGAAGTTGAGGTCCATGTTTAATTGCCATTCTATGCTTTGTACGATGACGATGCATAGAGTTGCAATTCGACCAGCACAAGATTTGCTTTTCCTGAATCCAGATTGTTCTGGTGGATGGCGGAGTTCTGTATCCAGTACATCCTTTATTCTCTCTAGGATGATGCGAATTAGTATTTTACTTGGCGTGGACAAGAGCATTGTTCCACGCCAAGTTGATCCATGTTAGTATGTATTAATGAAACTTCTAATATGAGTAATCAAGAAATGTCTAGTCATTAATCTATTAAAAGAAATAAAACTGTGAGTATTTAATTAGTAGACTAGTCACAAGAAAAACTACCATAATATACAGCTTACTTGAACCCAATATTGTTCAATACTTCCTGACCCAAAAAAGCTGTCCTCATTGAACATCAATACAGTTTCAAATATTAATCCATCATTTGTACCAATTAATATTTCTTGTGTAGACAATTCATTTACATTATGCTGATTCCATGCCACAGAATCGAATAAATGATCCTGGGATAGAAAAGAGAGACAAAAATAGAAAAATGCCTAGTAGTGTAAGACAATGAAACCAAACTTGTTCGCCCATTTTTACAGGTATATCCTCCGTAAATCCTTTAGGTTTTTTTTACCTACGGAAAGCATGTAGGATTTTTAAAGTAGAGCAATAAACAGCATATCATGTCGCATGCGAAATAGATGCGTTAAAGTCAGTAGAGATCATGTTATCATACTCATTATTTTATGATTATTAAACGCTAACTAATTAAGACATACTCAGTTATATACCTAATCTAACCGCTTTACTTTACGAATATTCCACTTAGGCATATTTTAAAAACTATTTGTTAACGTATTGGTAAATGATAATTTAATGATACACTTTACTTTTAAGACTTATATGGAGTCTGGGAATTTAAACATGTCACTCAGGTTCTTAGTTCGTAGTTTCACACATATCATAACAAACAATAATTATAACATTCATAACACAAATTTTCGGATATAATCAGTACACTTTTTCTACAGTTGTCCTTCTATCTTTTTAATGGTGACATCTGACAGCAGATTCTAGATTTATTTTATTTTATTTAAAACACAAAACCATGCTACAGTATGGCACCAAGAGGATGCACCACACGATTCTTGACCGATAACGGACCCCAACCAGTGAGTTATGACGCACTAACCGATGCTAAACTACCACAAATATCTTTCATCCCACAACGCCACACTTTGTGTGCTACAAGGAGGGAGTGTGGCAACTCGAAATGATGCACATCTGTGCAAAGTTCTACATTGAAACCAGTCATCGAGTCCCAGGACTAGTTAACAAAGGAAGGTATGGGAGCCTCTGGCATTTGTCCAAGACATCGAAGACGGAGTTTCCAAACAGCAACACTCAATAAATGGTGATCTCCACTGTATCCAAACACACACCTCAAGATATCAGAGTTACTAACACGATAATCCCATCGAACGCAGGCAGTCCTATGAAGACGGTGATGATCGAATACGCAGAGTCGCTGTACATCCTCAGCTCGGGGAGGCTAGGTTTCGCAGGCGTAGAGTGAAACAGCGCGCACCGAGGCACTGTGATACCCAGTGCCCAAGTCTTACACATATATTAATATGACTTATGGTCTTCCTGTACGAAGACTAATCAATACACTTACTCGATTTTCGAAGACTGAAGCAAGATATGAAAGTCATCGTATTTTCAACATTCGATGCTTGAAAAATGAAATCATTCCTAAATACTTACGTCTACGAGCTCCAGTTCCGAAGGACAGAATTAGAAGCAGAACAGAAAGTCTACAAAAATTATGCCTAAAAGAAGAGATCCACAGAATTGTTAAAAAGTTGAAACATATCAGATATGAAATTGAGCAATTAAAGCTAAAGCTAATGAAAATAGTAACCAATGTAGATTATGATCTTACAACACAGCCCTCTAGCAATGCCGAATCAGCAACTCTCAAAAAGTCAAAAAATACTCATATCAAAAAGTTCAATATATTATTAGAGCAGAAATCTTCATCTCAGAACGATGAAATCAGCAATCTAAAGTCAACGGCGATCGATTAAAACAAAGTGGGTTATCAATCTCCTAACATACATATTAATTCCTACAGAAATAAGTGTATTAGGAAAGGGATTAAATTTCAGTTAAGCGGTAGACAAGCTGAAACCTGAGGATGTCATCTGTAAAATAGAAATGGCACTAAGTGGGACAGACAAAACAACGGCTGATGAAGTATGGGCACAATATGCACTAACATTAAAACGACAAAAACGTGGAAAGCCTAACCTGACAAAACAAGAGACAGAAGCCCTAAAACACCTCAAGAATAACAAGGATATAGTAATCACAAAGTCAGACAAAGGGAATGCAACAGTAATAATGAACAAATTGGACTATCTGGACAAGGTGAATACTCACATACAAACAGAACCATATGAGGAATTTAATAAATCAATAGACAGTTATGAATAAAGTTAAGAAATCCACAGCGGACCTTATGCGCCGAATGAAGCCGCTTCTAGGTGAGTGTAAAGGGTTTAATTTACTGCCCAAAACTAGTAACCCCAGTAGGATGTATGGTATTGTTCAAGTTCATAAGTCAGGATACCCTATTATACCTATAGTTGATTTTAGAAATTCACCTACTTATGAATTATCTAAATATTTAGCCATGGTATTAAATCCTCTTAAAAGACACTCAAAATCTAGACAAACAAATTTTTATGAACTGAAACATAGATTAGATAATTTAAAATTAGATAATGAAGAAAAACAATGGTTAGTTTTGACATTGTCAGTTTATATTCACGTATACCAATAAATATGGCTATAAAGGCAGTCAGAAACGAACTCATTTCTGACCAAGAACTCGAACTTAAGACGAAAGTGGCACCTGAGGACATAATGCTGGGAGTGAAGCTTTGCCTGACTTCCACAGTATTTAAATTCCAAACGAAAATATACAAAAAAACTGAGGGAGTTGCCATAGGGTCACCAATATCCCCGATTGTGGCAGATATATTCATGGATAGGTGGGAAAACATAGTGATTGAAACGTTCACCCCCGCCCCAAAAGTATGGTGGAGGTATGTAGATGACACATTCACTGTATTTAGAACACAAAATATGGATAGATTTTTCGAAAATATTAACTCAAAGATGTAGGTAATTCAATTCATTTATGAATTGGAAAGTCAGGAAGGGGAGATTCCAATGTTAGACTGTAGCATAAAAGGGAGAGAAGATGGGAAGTTAAACACTAGTGTTTACAGGAAACGGCACAGATAAGCTGAGAATTCAAACAAAGGTGAAAGGATGACGAAAGTAAAGTCACCAACAATAGCAAAAGTAAAACACAGGAATCTATGTGTAAAAATAAAAACTAGGCTGGAAAGAAATACGTCACTTGAAACATCATCAATGTTCGAGAAAACTGTAAGGAGCGTGCATTTAGCTTCACTAATTTATCACATTCCAAATTAACTTAGGATATATTAGCAGAAGGAAATTTCACAGAGCACCTGTACATATGGGAACACAGTTATGAATTCAATATTTTATATGAATATACGAAACCACATGCGATAACAAATGGAAACTTAAATGTTTGCGCAGTCACATCTACTACAGCATGTCTGTTGATCATACGACCGAATATCCGTTACGTTTACGAAAATATATATTCGCACACTTACCTTTGTTTTGTTCAATGGTCGAACCTTCTTCATACCTCTATTGATGTAAAAGTTCATACCAGATTGCATGCTTATTATGGTATGCCAACCCATAGGATCCAAAAAGATATTATGAACACGATCATCTGATTGACGAGTAATTTCAATTTCTAGTTTAGAAACAAAAATAACACTAGATATTCTGATGTCTTACAGTCAATCAAATGGGGCATCTAGAAAACTACGAAATTCAAAGAAACCGTATATTACGGAAAATTCTGTTTTTATCCGTGCATACAATAAAGCACCATTTACACAATATCAGTCGATTGTCAGAAAGTCTGTTTATCTGGATTCAACATAGAACTTGTCACCGAAGTGCAGCAGTTCCAGTTGCCACGTTCCAAAAAGCACACAGAGGTGGACAAGAAGATGAGTGAAGACAATCAATAGAGTTTGACAAGTATAAGAGTGAAACAGAATGAGTAATGGTAGAAAGGAATATGAAAGATTACAGAGACTGAATACATCTGCGCCATTGACAACGATTTTGAGTCATGTCACCTATTGTCTCCAGCCATTGATTCCTAGAGTCCCGAGGGCCCCAACCCGGGAGTCTCCATCTTCCTACCTGACTCAGTTTAACTGTCAAGGATTTCATGGATTGATGCCATGTTTTTGTTTGGCCACCACTGGCTCTTTTCCAACCTTCACCTATATCAGCTAGCTAGTAATGCCCGTCGGGCGGGGGAGGCGATGGTTAGGCATGCGCAGCACGTGACCTAGCCATCTCAATCTATGTAACTTTATAGCCTCAGAAAGTACTTGATTAAGATGTCTACTCCTGAGTACTAAAAGAAGGAAGTTAACGTAAAAAGCGAAGACACGATAAAGAATAGAGAAAACCGAATGAAAACAATTCGCTCTTTTATTGTCTAGGATTTATAATCTAAGGTGACACTATTTCAACTCATAATTTTATTCGTTGACATTTTTACCATTACCTGACATTTTGTGTATTTTGAATTTATTGTCACCGTAAGTACCAAAACGCTGCTATAACCAATCCTGTAATATTATATTTTATTTCTGTTTTCACTGTTGTTGAGTAAATTAGATGCAATATTACATGAAATGCTGAGAATTCCATGCTGTATTATGTTACTGTTTGAAATGAAGAAAATCATTGTTATTATCAGTCATACATCTGAAAAGTTCTTAAAACAGACCATCAGACGCTACTAGTGGACATACACTATTGGAAATAAGTGAGCTGCATGATTAACATTTCTTAACCACTGCATGTGGTTCCTTCTGAAACTGTACGCTTCTGAGCAGCTGGATGAAACCATGACAACTCACATATACGCTCTCCTTATCAACCAACTCATTTCAAATCCTACTTTCCACCTAGCACTGACTTCGGGAACATTGCGGAAAATTGGGACCCACTGCAGAGGCTTAGGGGCAAACATCAACTCCATTCCATAAAGTGCTCTAATGTATCCCACCTTCTATTATTGACCCGAAGATTCACGCAAAGGGCGTAAATTGTTTGATCAGCCTTAGCCGTTTAAGATTGTTTTGATAACTGGTTACTTGATCAACTATGACGAAAACGTGAATGTCAGTGATGTTGCTTTAAAAATGTACGACACCAGATGTCAGCTCGGAAACAGTTGATGTAGGCGTTTACATGAAGATTTGAGAGATGAAAGTAAAAATAAAAGGGAAAAACTTGGTCAGTCTTAATTTAAACACGAATTTTCAAATATAAAATGCCAATTTTACTACCTATCAAAATCAGTTAAAAAGTGCACAAACCTGATGGATTAACTGGGGGGACTGTTGACGCCCTAATTAAAGTATTTTTCGACGTGGCACCAACCAAGTAACTGTTACAAACCTGTAGGTTCATCAATGAATTCGTAATCCTTAAAGTAAATATTTAAGAAATCGAGATATATACTTTAGCCATTGAACTGATTCCAATGAGAAAATTCCATCATGAGAAAAGAACTCAGCGGACTAAATGGCACGATAAATGTTGTGGGGAATTCGCTTACAGATTGCTGTTCACTAGCATTCGTAGAATCTTTCGGCATTTCGTAGCGCACTATCTAAACACCGCGGTCGAATATACAATATTCAAGTTATTTGATGAAATCCAGACAGAAATAAGGAAACAAACTCATCACACTGAGCGTCTTATATCAAAGTTTCTCTTTCAATTCTTTGGTAAACTTTGAAACTTTCTCCTACAAATCAATAAGACACGTGGAGACTTTCGAGATGCATACGATCCTTCTTTATCAATTTCGTCTCTACTCCAGGCTTCATATCAAAAATCAGAAAAAATGCCTGATAAATTATTTCATAGAGATTCCGGTGATTTAAGGGGAACGCTTTTTGTTGCGAAAGTACAAATTAATCGATTTTTCCCTCATTTGAATAAACTACTGCTCTGTTAGCGTCTTGAACAGAGTACATTTATCATTTAGTTTACCTCTACCTGGACTCAGTAGATAAGTGACGTTCAGGTTTTACTTATCCTACCTCAAATACATACCTAAAAATCATCTCTGAAATAAAACTGACTTTTAAATTTATTGTTATGAGATCAGATACAATCGGAATTCTCTTTGGTTACTTCGGGTTGAGATTAGTATGAGGCTAGAGGTGATGTCTTTTGTTTGCCAACATATAAACAGACGAAAAACGCAGCTGATTCAGTCCAAACAAGATCATGTTTTTAAAACTTGAGTGAGTTCTTCAAGGAAAATTTACTCCATAGATACACAACGAGCTACTAGAATCTGTCACCCACTGTATGAGAATTAAGTGTAATGGTTGGACTAGAATGCAAGTATTATGTTCGATTTGAAAACACCAGTGAAGCGCAAGATTAGCGGTGATAGATATGTAGGCTAAATGATGGTTGATAACTGACTCTAACGCTCGGTAAAATGTAACATAAAGAACTGCTTAATGTCATTACATGTGTATCTTGAAATATTTTGGGACTATGTATCAAGTGCACCGATGTGCATCAGTTCACAGCCTTGGTGTATTAAGTCTATTATTCGCTCCTAAATATTACCCTTAAACTTTCAGTCTGAGTTAATCACATGACTCTCCTGGCCACTGATGAATTCGGTGCTGAGAGATAGAATATACATTTCAACCAATGAATCATATTTTTACTTGAGTGTTTGTCCACGGAAGGCACAATCCCATGCAGTGTTCCACCTGAAAATAAACACGGCACATTACCAGAATAATTCAAAAACTGTAAGCATGATTCTCCTGCCTAACCGACTACGGGAGTCCATCCGCAGAAACTGAAGACACATAAAGCCACGCTCAGCAAAAATAGACTAGAAATATCCCTTGAAACATGCTAACAGTTTCGGAATGGGACTCCGGAACTACCGGAGGAGTACTCGCATTCGCCGGCAAGGATTGCAGCCCGACACAGAATAATAAGACTTTGACATTGTCTAGAGTTACTGGCCTTCAAAAGGATGACAAGCAGACAAGAATTAATCCCAAGTCCCAGATTGGTTGATCAAACTTCCTTATCATGTTTTGACATACCAGTCTTCAGTACCAGCCTGCTGGAACAAGGGTCACTGTTTATTTTATGCAGCGAATCAAGGAATGTTAACAACTAAGGTGGCTTCACAGAGGTATTTAGACATCTCCATTAAGGATACCACTAAGCGCTTCTGAAAACGCTGTAAATGTGCTATTACTGCCACAAGTATTGGCCGTCGAAGGATACTCCAACATAAGAACAAAACCTGGTAGGCCATAGGAAACTGGTTAAGCAGTCTCCCGAACTGATGCCCTTCATCTGCGTGACCATACACTGTATTCTGGAGCTCGAAAGTGGACTTGCTTGTGAAGACACACATGAAGATGGTTGTGATCTCGGATGGCCCTTGGTGCCTCCCGACTTGCATGTAACTTTGTTCCGTTTATCTTAGACAGACCGGCTCACCAAGGCTGATAGTTGACAAATTCAGCCCTGGGAAGCAGCTAGGTGTGGTCAGTTTTCAGACTTCAACAGTCGTATGAGACCGGGGGTAGAGTTGGCCGACTTGTCTGATGCTTCGAAAACTGCCGCCGAACTCAGTACTGTGAGGTCACACAACTGGCAACATAGAGGTGCAACGCTGGGAATGACAGCCGATTTCACCTAAGTGAACCTAAGGAAAGAGCGAAAATAGGCCTGTTTCATCGGGATCGGCCTATCGGTTCCAACAGTAACTCCTCAACCAGCAGCTTACATGGCATCAAACATCTCACAATACGGTGACGTGGTGAAACTCATTGTCATTTGCCTATTTAAGAAGGTTGATGGTAAAAATAACTGTACCCAGAAACCTCCAATAATGCCCACACCTTAAAATGATAGTCGCGGAAGAAACCTGGCTAACCTACACTGCTACCAACAATGAAATCAGTATGTGTTATAACTGTTTGGACGACGCAGGGATAGCACGGAGACTTCAGGGCCTCATTCCTGAACCCTGGCTTGGGATATGCTCCGGGTAAATTCGGTCAAAATCTGCCACACAACATTCGAAATGCAGGGCTGACTGAGAACGCTGGAGACGACACTAGTTAGGGTCCTAGTGGGAAGTCGTGAAGACTGGAAGATATTCTAACTAAGGGTGAGGATAGACATTATCATGTCTCAAATACGCCTCGCTTCTGTTTTGTTCGTCTTTCGTTGGCTAGAACAGTGGCGGTCAATCGGACTTTTGATTTCCTGCAGGTAAGTACTTTCGTGCATGGGTTTCTGTTATTTTGTTATGCGTGGTTTGCAAAGAGTTGCGATTAATATAAATGTGACATCTGACTATTTTAATGGTTTTTTATCGTCTTTTATATAGCTAAAAGTCTTGTCTCGTCGCGAAAGCTCCGTTGAGACTGATTAGTCTTTTTAGTATTTGTCAATGACTGCCATCTCGGGGGTCCCTATGCATTTCTTTTACTGTGGTTACACATGTGATATTTTCTTCCTCGGTACTCCTAAGTCATACAGTCTAATATTCTGTGTTTCTTGAGAATCAGGTGCGATAGGCTGTGGTGGTAATGGGTACTAACTAACTAAGCCTTTTTTTAGATGTACATTGGAGGTTATCAGTGCGAGTGGAAGCAACGCAGCATTAGGATACGTTTCCATTGCTGGAAGGAAATGAACAACGCACTGAAGGACTTTCAGAAAGCGTTAACGTTATAAACTGCTAACGGTGTAGACCGTCTGCACATACTACGTTCATATACTGCTAATATTTATCAGCAGATATATATATATATATAAAGAGATGTTCATCGACATAAAAATATCGGATAGCAGGGAGATAGATTTGATGTCAGGGAAAGCAAATTCTTCAGCCTTGCGGAGATACATGGGAGACGTGAAAGGAACACAAACAAACACAATATAAAGGAAGGGCACAAGTAGCACAACATGGAATATCTGTGCAAATGATGATTTGAAGATAAGGTGTACATAATTTGATTGTATGGAGAAACCGAATTGCAAATAAACGTTTCTTTGCCAAGTTTTTTCTTCTACTTTTACAGTACCAGTAATGTGTTTTACAACTGGAAACAACTACAAACTGTGATGACCAACTGTATGCTTAAGTCAAATATGATCATGCCTGGCAATCGTGTAAATGCTTGAATTATGTAAATAAGATATTATTACTTAGTGATTCCCAGGAAATGGCACACGGTGAATTTAGCCTGTATTACGTTTGGGTATATCAAGTCGCAGTGAGATCTCTCAGTTACTTAAATTCTTTGGGAAGCTGAAGGAGTTAAATTGGGGCGAAGACATCATTAAAAGTGTCTTGCGAATTATCAGCGAATAGGCTTTTATAATCAATTATTAGTGGTAGGATACAACTCCAATCTACTTTTCGACAGAAACGTAATAATTTATTTCGTATAAGCCAGTGAGTGCATATGAAATGCATGTCATGTTTACGGGCACGACTATGTGTTATAAATTACAATCGTGAAATATCACATATTAACACATTTCCGAAATTCTAAATGGCTGAAGTTTAGCACAAGCAATCAGAAGATGTCCATATATATGTTAAATTTTAAACCCTTCACTAAGTTTGTGGTGAGAGATGGCTGCTAGCTAAATTGGTAGACAGTAATTTACGCCAAACAGTATTATATACTGAACATATGTAATATAGTATATAATATATTTTATAGTATATAATACTGTTTCACTGTGTGATACATCTAATAAGCAAACTAATATGAAATTGCTTACTACCACAGCCCCCAAGTTTTACACATAGATTAATAATTTACGTCAATGTTTACGTAATTTTGGTTGGGAGGAAACTAAGAACAAAGACTGATCCAACAACCAGCCACATCAGACTTTACGTAGGAGGATAGAGTTAGCAGATAGACGATCTGACATTCAAGAAACAACCGCAAAGAGATGAAGGATTAACTTTCTGTAAGAAACAACAAATTAGAAGACTGTGTTTTTCTGCTAACAATAATCTGTAATTATGTACATGAAAATCTATAAATATGTGTTGACTTCCTAAATAAACGATCTGTTGCTTGTCCCTTGTCTTCTGTTGTTGCGAGGTTACCACCATAGTCGGGTGCCAACCCACATTTCGTTTCGTTTACTGCTGATAGTCATGGCCAACCAATGAACAACATATATGTGAATAAGTCCTATGCCCACGTGTTCAAAAGCCATTTCAGGGAGAGGCGAATATCCTGAGAAATTTTAAAATGGTATAAAATAAAATTATCGATGATACACAACTGAAAGTACATTTACAAGATATGTACAAAGGCAGATATAGAGCCCTTGGAATGATAGTACACGTATGCGACACATAGGGCTAGCCGTATTAGTCTTATCATGAAAAGTCCAAGGTAGTTAAGATAAAACAGTGTGATAGTACTTAGATAAGAATTGTCTTGAAGTGTAAATCTGATAGCCTAGTGAGAAGCGGCTTCAAATATCTGCGGGATTCGATGTGCTGACCTGTAGGATATCTAACGAATTTCTGCAGGGCCCACGGTTAAGCATCTTGGCAAGAAGCTAAGCAGGCTTTCAGATGATAGAACTAAAAG